GGTGTGGGCCCAAAGGCAACTTGTGCTGCAGGGCCTAGCAAAACTATAGGCAGTGCATCAAGTGGCAAACCGATGGATGCCACATAACAATTGACCGCATGATACGTTTAGGATTTTCTTTATGGAATATTGGAGTTTGTGTGAGCCAATGCCCGATGAGAGCAGGATGTGCTAGATTATTAGGCATGGAATAGTGCTCGATGGCCCATAGCAATGTGAGAAACCCAACACTCATTGTGTGTATGGTATAAAGCACAGGGGGTAGTATGTTTCTTTGGGAATTGAGTTTCTGGGAGGTTAAAGCATAATAAACATTATGATAGTACAATCTCATATGAAAGTAGGTTTTATTGAAAGATTGTAGTTTCTTGGACCGCCTCCATTGGGTTAGCGGTATAGAAGATATTGTTAGATACATTTTTAGTACTTTAGACCCCCTATGCAAAACCGTATCGGGGGATGAGATACTATTGCTGGGCCCGTACACTGCATTGTCATATGATCGGGGCAGGGGCCACCCGCTGATCACTTGTCAGACTATAATTTTGTTCTCTCGCCCACTCCGTGCAACCCACAGCTGTACCTGCAAGCTACACGGTGCCATGCCCCCACAACGCGCATGGCCGCTCTATAGTGGAGGGCCTATACCCTGCCATTTGCAGACCTTGGCGCACACTGTGAACCCAAAGGAACATACGCCCTAGTAAAGCCCACCGGTCATCCAGCGGAGGAGGCCTATCTGGGCCCATTTGGGTGCCTCGGTAGGTGCATTGCCTATATCAAACCCAAAACCACGCCAAGTGTTTTTGGAGCGTGTGGGCGTGGATGGCAGAAACATGCCACATGATGCAAGAGCACCAAAGGGGCCCCATCCTGTCGGTGGGGTTGTCCCATCCATGAGATCGGAGGAGAAGCGGCCATCTAGGTGCCCCGGGAGGGGGATTGAATTGGCCAAGAAGTACGTTGCACACCCAGCCTCGTGGGGGGAGGCGCATTGTTTTGATGTTTTTGCAAAGGATCCTAGTGAGCGCCGGGGGGTGCATTCCCCATGGAGATTGCTGCAGACGGAGGCGGGGGCAGTGCATTGCCGCAAGATCCTGTGGGCTGGGACAGCGGTGGGGAGGCACAGACTGGGTGCGACCAGCCCCAGCAGCGGGGAGACGTGATTGGCCATGTAAATCGTTGGATCCGGCGATGGGGAGTGCAAGGACCCCAGAGGGGGCAGTGCAAAAACGAGCGGCAGGCCGGAGCCCAATACATGTTGTGTGGGGGATGACTAGACCTTGCCACCGCATGACGTGACCATGGGAAGTGGCGTGACGCAACCCATGCCATGTACTGCCGGCCAGGGGATGCGGAGTAGCAACCCTTGGGAGCCGGGGGCATAGAATAGCGGCCCCTAGTGGTCCCGTGGCCGGGGAGGGGTCTCTGCAATAGTGACCCCTGGGGAGGGTTTGGCTGGATGTTTGCCCAATAGCGACCCCTGTATGGGGCTGGGCAGTATTGGACGGTGATTGGACTATGGCGGAATGGAATTGTAACCCAGCACGTGGACGGCAACTTCCATGGAGAAGCTGAGGGGGTACCCATGACCCTCTCAGTAGGTGGACGGCGAATAGCAAACAACAACTGATTGCAGCTTCCCTGGAGTAGTTGAGGAGATACCCTTGACCTCCTTAGCATATTGATAGCAACCAGCAGCAGACTGCAACTTCCTAGGAGTAGTTGAGGGAGTACTCTTGGCCCTCTTAATAGGTGGAGAGCAACTTCACAGAGATTGGAGCTGACTACCCCTACACTCCATTTGGGTGCCAAAGCAATAGGCCTCAGTGTCCTACAACTTCCAGTATGATGGACCACACATAGCATAGTCAACAGGGTGCCAATGCACTAGGCTTGGAGCCCTCCGAGTGGGCCAGTGTTAGTTAGGGGCCTATCCCACTGCAATAGAGCAATTGGCAGGAGGTCGGGGGGCAAAGGGCTAAGTCAAAGAGTCCCATACTGGGCCAACCTAGACACATGTGAAGGGTTACAGGCCTACCTCATGGCAACAAAACCTTACCCAGAAAAAAGGTTGACCCTAAGTTGAAGCCAGCAGCCGCCTCACATATGTTAGGGGGTTGCAAGTAGGGTTGGGTAAATAAAACACCACTAAGTTCTGCCTTAGAGAGCAAGTGGCCAGGGAGGAGGGACAAGGTCTTGAATTCCCCTGAGCCGCTTGGGGTACATATTATGCCCACCATACTGCCATTCGGGTGAGGTGTGGTATCGGCCCTGAGGTGGTCTTAATTGGTGAGGCCGCCAAAAGGCCATTGCTGAGCAGTTCTCGTAGCACAAGGGGGATAGGGAATATTCAGCTCCAATCAACTGGTGGTATTCCTTGGGGTGTGGTAGGGAAGCCTCTCTTTTGAGGGGTGAGTAAATGCTCTTTGAATATTCTTAAATACCCTGTTGCTAACTTAGGAAGAAACTGGTTGTAAAGACTATTCTAGAATTGTTGTGGTGAAGCCATTTGATACTTTGTTGGTTGGGGAAGCATAGTACCCACTGACTTGGATACGTCATTTGGTGGATCCTAGAGCTTACTTTGAGCGAGTAAGGACCACGCTTTGGGATATCTCCAGGGTTGGGCCTCCGAGCAGTTAGTCTATGGTCTACCGCAATTCTCAGTAGAGGTGGCCCCATCTGTCCGTCCCCAACAGAATTTGTTTGGCTCCGTTAAAATTCTGTACAATCAACAGAATTTATGAGGGAGCCACAGAGAAAAAAAGCGTTTTACAGAAACGGGTAGGGCCATACTGACGTCAGCATAGACAGCTACAGAAATCCACACATCCTTACAGAATGGAACCATGTGTTACAGAATTCGCGCCGCCGTCTACGGATGATAGGCCCCCGCAACAGAACCACTGACCAGACCACAAAGGTCGACAGAATTCCATAAAAAATTGATGGCAATCGCTGCCGGGAAGGGCCCGCACTTATGATTTATAGTATGCCGTGATGATGTGTTCTGTGTGTGTGCTGCCTGTAGCCAAGTACCGGCACCGATCGCTGCCGGGAAGGGCCCGCACTTATGATTTATAGTATGCCGTATTGATGTGTTCTGTGTGTGTGCTGCCTCCAGCCAAGTATTGGCAGCGATCGCTGCCGGGAAGGGCCCGCACTTACGATTTATAGTACGCCGTGATGATGTGTCCTGTGTTTGTGCTGCCTACGGCCGAGTACCGGCAGCGATCACTGCCGGGAAGGGCCTGAGCTAAGTATTAATAATTTGCCAATCGAGTCAATTGAAGAATGGAAAATAGCTGAATGGCATGTCGGGCGGCACTTTGTCAAGGCACATCCAGCTTTCCTGGGCGTCATGACCACGCCTCTATTCGTGACAAGCTTCCAGAATCTCAAAGTCCGTGACGGATGGCAACGGAATGCTAGGAAAGGCAACGGAAAAAAAAACATCTTTACAGAAATTGGTGGCTGCAAACACCCCCTTGATGGACAGCTCCAGAGCCAAAAAACTGGAAGCTGATGTGGCATGAACGGCTATAGAAAACCGGCCCTGGCAAAACAATAGAAAAGTGACGGACGGATTTTTTGTCTTGAAAAAAAATACAGAAGTAAAATACCAGAAAAAAATCTGAGCGGCCACGTCTAATTCTCAGTCACTAGTTTTAATCAGTCATCCTTCAGACTTCATCAGTTTTGCTAGGGTTATTGGGATTCTTTCTGCATTCTTTATTGTACTTTGCACTTCTACTATTTTTGCATGAGTGAACACTGCTCAGCTATGTCTCGTATATCAGACCCATTAGTATTTTTATGGCAGAAGATGGAGGAGGCGATGGGTTTTGAGGTTGTTGATTCAACATCACACCAGGGAGTATTGTCTGGTCCTGTACTAGTATCCGAGACAGCGGATGATGCATAACTATGGCTTCCGTCCCCTCTGTATGTTGGTATTTTATCCATAGAGTAGCATGTAGATCGTATCACATCGGGGACATAGGCAAGTACCCGTATCCTGCATGACTCACCAGATATGCAGAGTCAGTGGTCATTCACCTGGCCGTGCAGACAGATATTGCCTAATCACACAACCTCGCAGTTCGCAGTCCGTATCAGGCCACGTGAGCCACCAATGTTTACTGGAGAGCGAGGACAGGACTTTGTGTCATGGAATTGACGTTAGTGAATGAAGTTAACTCAGGTTTAGGCCGTTGGGTGGGAATGTGTCACGAGGTGTGAGATTGGAGGTTGCCCTGCCGCCCAAACCCAATAGGGTACGGCGGCACTCTGCCGGCCACATTTTGGGAGGGGCTGCGCCCACATCCGAGGTCAGTACCTTTAGGGTGCGGTGTGAATCAGACCAGGAGTGGGGTGTCCTGGACACCGGTGGGCACCGTGTCCACCGGTCAGGCAGACCTTGGACACTAGTACGAGGTCTGGCAGTACCTTGGACCGGTTGGCGGCACGGATACAAAGGTGGGGCGAAAGAACTGTAGCTATCTTTGCTTTTGCTCCCACCCGTCACAACCCAATAAACTGTCGCTTGACAAGAATGTAAAGGAGAGACTTGGCAAACTGGCGAGGGTCACATGTGACCCGCGTACAACGGCCCTGGTGGGGCTTGGGATTGTGTGTGAAGTGTGTGTGTGTCTGAGTGCAATGACGGTGACTTTGACTGCGTGCGGAACACGGGTTGGGTTCAGGCCACCCGGGAGTTAACTTACAGAACAAGGCAATGAGGGTAGCTGCCAGCTTCCTATTTTGCCGGAATCACCAATCCCAGCACACGAGCCTCACACTGCAGGTTCTGCACATGGAGCCCTCCCGTTGGTCATTCACTCCCCACACGGCCCCCAGAGTGTGACGAGGCCCCGGTAACCGCCGCATGGCCCTCGCAAGCGCGGGCTACAGTCCACCTAGGGCACTCTGCGACGCCTGGCGCGGCTAGCCCTTGTGGCCCTTCCCTGCAGTAGCGGGCCCTCGGTGAGGCCACCATGATCCTGTACTCCAAGGCGTTCTGGGGCTACCAGGAGCTCCTCCGATTCTATGGCTCCGCGATCCCCCGCAGCCTGCCCGCCGCCTTCCTCAGCGCCGTCGTCACGCTGCTGTTCGAGTTGCTCAGCGGCGACCAGGAGGAGATGAAGCTGTGGTTCGGCAAGATAAAGCCCTTCCCGTACCCCTTCCAAGTGTTCGCCTTCGTGGTGGGCTTCATGCTGGTGTTCAGGTGCGGTGTGCGCCCCTCCGTGCACGTATTCGAGGCAGCGGTGCGGGCGGTCCGATCCTGCGCCGATTGTGGCCTACGGCGTCGTGGCGTCCCTGTTTTTTCCGCCGGTTGTGTGGTGGTTTGGGGAGCGTGCTGCTCTGTGATGTGGGGTGGGACGGTGGGCAACACCATGTGGGTGTACGATGTGCGACCGATTGAAGGAGAAACCGCGCGATGTGATGCCGTGCGTCCATGACATGCCTGGGCCGCTTAACGGTCGTTGGTTTTCCCTGCTGCAGTGTTGTGCACAAGGAGGTCGATGTGCGAAAATGCGGGATTATCGGCTTGGCGGAAAGTATGGCATAGTTTCTAGGTTGCCATTTGTGTGCACAGGCGCTCAGACCTTGGATCCTGATGTCTGGCAGTAGTCCATTGTCTCGAGCGGCGGGGATCGGGTCACTTGCCTGGGGTTGAAGCAGGGCCTAAAGTAGAGGGAACAGGCACCAAATGAAAACTGCAGTTGCTGACGGACTGGAATCGCGCTGCATGCGTGGCCAACGTCGCCTCTCAAAGGCCCCAAAATGCATGCTTTGCAGTTTATTTGTGTGAGCCTGGCGTGCTTTTTGTGGTTTATACAATATTCCGTCCTCTGTTTTCGCAGGGCCACGTTCTCCTACAGGAGATATTGGGAAGCAAGGACTGAACTTCAGAACATGACGGCATTCTACACCTCGGTCGTAATGGAGGTGCGTTGCAGGCAGCAGTGTGGAAGTCACAGATAATTCAAGTAGTTTGTCACGACATTCTGCTGTTGCAGGTTCTCTTGGCAACAGTGTCGCCATCAGCCACTTTCTGCCGTCGTCTGTGACATAATGCCCAAATTAACTGAAGAGCTCGCCACATGTAGACAGTAAATACGATGTTGCTGGAAGGCTCCTTGTGTTCATCCGATTCTGCTGGAATAATGAAGAATCTTGTTGAATAATAAGCTCTACGATGTGTGCTGTGTAGATTTTATGTTCTCACTTTGCATCATGTTGGTCAGCCATTTTTGTGCAACACTCTGGCTTTGATCTTGGAACAATTGACCTTAATTGCTGTGCATCAGCACTGGGACAACAGTGACACGGGCTTTCAGTGAGGGATTTTGCAACACCAGTGTCCTGGCGTCAACAAAGGGGTCTGCCCAAGTTGCCAATATTGTAGGCAAGCAAATCTCACAGCATGTGTTTTCACTGCAGAGCTTTCAATGCTGGCAGTGAATTGTGTTGGATTGTTGGCTGTTATCTCATGATGGCCTGTGTGTTCAGACTCTAAATTTCGACATGGGGAGTCTGCCAGAAGGTGCTAGTCCACAGCAAGTGCAGAAAGCCATCACATTTGGGGAGACTTTCATCCATTACATGAGCCTCCTCCACGCGGTTGGCGTGCAAAGCTTGCGCAAGGACTGGGACTTCTCCAACATGGTCAATCACGATATTCAAGAAGACCCACTTCCCTATGTACGTATACGGATATGGTTTCAGCCACTGATCGGGACACATGGGGGGCTTGAACAAGAGCATGCTTTGAAGTCGCCCTGTCAACAAGGAGTTGATGGACTTGTTGTTGGAAGGCATGGTGGGAGCATGAGCTTGCTTTTCTTATCCAATGCCACAGTCCTTATAGTTTGCTTTTGGTGTTGTGATTCGGGGGAAGGAAGCTGTTGGCCTCGTAGCTGCATGCAGTGATGGATGCCAGCACACACCAGTGTGCATAGGACTGTCTGTGCTCAATCCATTCTCCATCGTATGAGTCTTGGTATAAAAGGCAGTACAGTAGTCACGTAGCTACAGTTATCATGCTGGCAATTATTTCTTCTGGGGGCTGGGAGCGCATGAGTGGATGTCTCGATTGAAGTTCCTCTGTTCCACTGTCGGCTGAGGCACCTGCACAGTGGCGATCGCAAAGGATGGGCAGTGAAAGCACTTGCTGACCTGTATGGCCTCCAAATAGTGCGCATTCTTGCATATCTGGGTTTCTAACAGCCACCAAGTGTCTTGTTCTTTCCTCTTTTTTTAGATTATCTTCCTTTTTTTGTTAGTTCTGATGGGAACTGGGGCAATTCACAATGTGCTGTGTGCATTTGATGGCAGCGTGGTGGTGGCTTCGAAAATGCCCCACATATTAATTTCTGGCCAACTGGTCTGCTCATGGACAGCACCCACAGTATGGATCACAGATCAATTTGGTTGGAATGCATACCTGAAAGACTGCATTTTTTACATTCACTGCTATCATTTTGGTACTTCGAAATTTGTCCGCACTTTACTGGCATTGGCTATGCATTTCACATAACCCAGTTCAGGTTTACCTGCATTGTACGAGTCTCAGAATGCAGGATTATATTGTTGTGAGCTTGTTTTTGATATCCAAAATTGCATCACGACTCACATCACGATATATTAGAGCACACTCATTTTCATGTCCATCTGATGCCTGCAGGACGCCAGCAAAATCCTGGCAAAACACATCAGGCAGACTGTTGGGCAGCCAGAGTGCGATGATGATAAATGCGCTCTGCCCTCTTGGTGGTGGCCCTTCACAACGTTCATCAAGAGGTGTCAAATCCATTTTCAGTTTGCAGACTTTGTGTTTCTGAGGTCATCCCGTAGGGTAAGGCTGGAGTACAACAGCCGGATGAAGTTGCCTGTAGTGGGAGGCATCTCAGAGGATGAGGCCGTGGCCCTGGGTTCCAGGGTGGGGTATGTTTCAAAGACAGGTGAATCGAGGGGTGGTGTCTTGTCCAATGGTGAGTAGCAAATGCTGGCCAGGTGTGTCACACGGATGCGGCACTTGCAATGTTCCTGCGAAATGTTCATCTGATCAGTTCGCCTGCTGGACAGTTGCTGGGAACAAGCAGCAAATCATGCGGTTGATTCTTTGAATGGAACAGCATGCACAGAATTTTTGTTGTTGGTCAGGTACCGTCATCTCTTTTTCCTTGTTTCAGCTTTTACCAAGTAGCACGCATGCCCAGGCGCACATTTACCAACCCCATAATGGCACTATTGGTGTTTTTTTAGCTTCGTTGTTTAAACATGAAGAGACATCTTTGCCACGTCGTCACATAATTCGTGGGAAAGGAATTCTATTTGAGAGCAAAAGGAGAATGAATGACTGACGAGACTGAAGGAAAAGACTTTAGTTCTGAATGAAGCACATCGCTTTCTCTCGTTAGCTGCCTTGATGAGGTTTTGGCAGTGCACTGTGAAGGTTGCCGACAGATGGTATCATCATTAGCGTTTGTCACCAGTCGTGCCGCTGGTTGGTAATTGCCAAAAGACACTGCAGCAGGCACAGCAATGCACTGGGACAGCCATGCAGATCTTGTTGTGGGTGTTCAGCACCAGGCATCGCGCACTGCAAGCTATCCTGGCAGGATTTCCTGGAATCGGGGGTCTCTTCGCTTATGACAGCTGTTATGCCCACCTTCTTTGCATCCTGCCTGCCACACACCTTGTATCAATGTGGCTGTGCGGATCCCTCACATTGTTGCTGCACTCCTTGATTTGGACTTTGGTTGTTGCGCTGCCTCAGCGGAGAGGCTTTTTCTTCCCACCCCATAGCTGCAGCTGAGAACATTGGGCTGTGTGTTGACAGGAATCGTTGTGCCTGGTCCTGGCGAACGTGTGTCAGTTGTGGCAGCATGGGTGAACCAAATTCTGCAGGACCGAAGGCGCGAAGGCGGCCTGAGAGTCCACCCTGCCATCATGAGCCGGGTGTTTGCATCACTGTCCAATGGTCTGCAGGGATATGAACAAGCAAGGTAAGGAACGGGTGCAGGCTCCGCTTTGTTGTAAGGCACTTAGCTGCGTGCATAGTTGGTATTTTGTGGTTTGCCGTCTGCCTTTCCTCGTGGAGTGAGCACATCTAGGATGCCCGATGTGTCTGGCTCTGGCAATATTGTCTTCTTCTGGCTGCACCCATGCCGTGAACTGTAGTGCACGATTCTGAATTTCAATTTGCCTGGTGCAGTTGTGTGTCCGGTGAATCTTGGCAATGCCTGCACCTCCACCTTTTTCACTTTGTGTGTGTTTTCTGCTGCAGGAAGCTCGTTGACACCCCATTCCCATTTCCTTGGTCGCAGTTTGTGACTGCCGTGCTGCTGGTGTTCGCCGTGACCCTCCCACTGGTCACGGCTGCGTTCATCAGGAATACCCCCCTGGCCGTTGTCATCGCGTTCATATCCACGTGGGCGCATTATGCCCTGAACGAAGTGTCGCAGGACCTTGAGGACCCCTTCATCTACGAACCCAACGACCTGCCCATGGTGCAGCAGCAGTGGATCTTCAACGAGAAGATCCTGGCCCTGGCAAGGACAAAGCGGCCGATCAGCAACTTTGAACTGGGGATGACAACTGGCCCCACGTTCAGAAAGATGGCCAGCAGGTTGAGGACGGCCTCGGACGTGGTCAAGGCGTCAGAATCGGGGGGATTGTCTCGGGTGGGAGGGCCCAGCAAGGTGCGGGAGGAGGTGCTCAACTATGGCTTGACTGCGTCCAGCGAGTTGCCCGTGTCGATTGGCAGAGACCCTGGGCACAGCGGCGGCAATGAAGGGCTGGTGCTAGACGACATCTACACAGAGACGAGGCCTGGTGGCACAGGGGCTGCAGATGGGGCCCAGGAGAACAGCGGGGATGGGCCAGTGGACCCCCCCCACACTTAGCAAGGAAAATCGCCAGCCAGGGCTCAGTGCTGTTATATGTGCAGACAGGCTACAGGGTTTGGGGTGTTTCAGTTTTTATGTTAGCTTATCCTTTCAGTGGGTGAGGGGGGCAAGAATAGAAGGTGAAGTGGCATTTGACAGTGGGATTTTCAGGGCTTATGGCTGCACCACATTGGGGAGGTGATGTTGGCTGTGGTCAAACTCAGTCATGATTTTGTGTGCTTTGATCCCTTTGCTGGTGGCCTGACTTGAGAATTATCATGCAGTCACACAGACACTGACTGTAGGCGGTGTTCTGTGGGCTGTGGTGTTCTTGGGGATCACTGTTGTCCCATTGGAGCTGCTCCCAATACTGCGCATTGTGAGTGCTGTCCATATGCCAAGTACTGCCCTGGCTTGTGGCACTGCATTGTGGCAAGGCAGCCTGGTTGCCAGGTAGAAGTCAGTACGGACTGCTGTGTGGCCGGATTGGTCTGTAACATCCGACTTTTGCTCTGTCTCTTTGAACACAAGCAAGGCATGCACCCACAGCAAGCGGATTGCTTGTTATTCAGTCTCCTTGGTCGAACTCATCGAGGGGAGGTGCATGTGCAAGTGGAGAGATGAGAGGACATATCTGGCGGGTGCCAGCGAGTTGTGCTTTGGCATCGGTCCAGCTGAATGCATCATTAGCAGAATGGCACCTAATGCAAAATGGCCCTTCCTAATGTGCAACTGCAACAAGTTAATGTCACTCTCGCCAAGTGATCGGAGAATCATGCAAGAATGTCCATGCTGCTGGGCCGTTGGGCTGGGTGGATGTAAGCGTTGGGGAGCGAACTGGGGAGCTACCCCCCCCCCTTGACGTCAGTCCATGCCTTTCATCACCATTCGAATGGGCGTCATGCCGTGCGAATTACGTCTGCGTGCCCCTACGAATTCGCCTGCGCGGAGTGTTTCCCGTGCCTCGGCGGTATGATGCTGTCCTCGGGTGCTGCGGCAGCCTGGGCCGCGCGTCTACTGAGACGTCCAGGGCTCTGCAAGGGTTGGGCACACGACGCACGATGGCTTTGGCCGATGATCGCTCCCCATTGCGGCGCCCAAGTGTCGTGGAAGCACCATGCTCTGGCCGACACATTGCCCAAGCTGCACGGCGGCCTGTTGAGCCTTGGTGAACGGCTTCATTTGCGACAGAGGGCATTGGGAGCACAGGCATGGGTGCGAACGCCTTGACGTGGTCCCTGACTTAAATGCACACGGTTGCCAGCTGAGGTCGACCATGTTTTTCCCCACCCTCCCCGATGTGTCTTTCCGTCCTGGATGGTTGCCGTTTCCCTGAACTCTCGCAGTGCTGGTGACTTGTGGATTACGGACAAACCTGGAGGCAGAAGCGCATACCCACACTGTGCAGGTTCCCAGTAGTCGAGCTCATGGCATGGTCGCACTTTTTCTGAATGTCATCGACGATTGTACAGATATTCTGCCCCGATCCACTATCCAGGCTTCTTACGAGCCAACATGCTGCGGTTTCGGCTGCTCATTGCCAGTTGTTGTCACGTCCATTTTCTGGTTCATCGGAGCCTGACAAGGCAACGCAGCTGCCTACCCAGAAGTCTAAGGCAGTGCACGAGACCGGCGGGGAGCAGATGAGCAACACAGAAATTGTGAGAGTATTGGCGAGATACTTGTGGCCTGAAGATCGCCCAGAGTTCCGGCGACGCATTGTTGGAGCCTTTGCACTTCTTGTGGCTGGCAAGCTCCTCAATGTCCAGGTACCCACAGCCATCTTAGTTTCTTATTCATGATTCCTGCCCTATTTTTATTCTTTTGTCGACTGCAGGGTGGCGGTGGCGTAATTTGAGCCCAACGATCCACCCGCATTGATGGCAGGGACGTAATTTGAGCCCAACGTTCCACCCGCATTGTTGTCATCCTATTGAGTGCTGTCATACTGGTGAGGAACACAGTGCGATCCATTCAACTATCTCGGGACATGGCAAAGTACTCCTCTTACTCTTCTTGCAAGATGTTCACAGGCATAACTCCATCCAAGTTGCTTGTTTATTTTCCTGTACTCCCATTAATCAAGCCCTGATCGTCCTGCACTGCTTTATGAGCATTCGACTTGCATCACAGTTGTCCACAGCGCACTACACTCCTTGTGAAAGAACCCCTTGTACTGTCGTGCAGGTTCCCTTCCTTTTCAAGTATGCAGTCGATTCTCTGACATTGGACCCCAGCGGGACTACTGCTACCACTGGGACGCTCATAGCATGCACCCCAGTGGCTCTTCTGGCCATGCATGGCATTGTTCGCTCAATGGCATCTTTCTGCAATGAAATGAGAGGTGCAGTGTTCTCCTCAGTGACTCAGGGCGCCATCAGGAGTGTGGCCGACAAGCTCTTTGCACACTTGCATGCGCTTGACCTCAGGTTTGTGTCACGGACCACAGATTGCCTCCAATAGTTTCATCAAGGTCATGACTACTGTAGGCCAGGAGCTGCTCACACCATATAATGATAGCACAGAAAATGCAAAGGGCAATGTCAACGTCCTTATAAGGATGGATACCAGGATATGGTTAGGCAGCCTGTCATGCTGAGTGTTCTGATCGTGAAACTTTGGAGCAACAATTGTGCTTTTTGCTTCCAAAGCAGGTGGTCATGCATTTTATCACATGCAAGGTGACCTTCTCAAACACTGATGTAAATTCATTGTTGAATATATGTTACCTGGATTGAATATTTCCCTGCAGCATAAAGACTAGGTGTAGATTAGATTGGACTTAAACCAGACTAGCTGGATTGGGATTGAAATGGAGTAGATGTGGATTTAGGTGAGCTTTTAATTAGATGTTGGATTGTGCACAGGTGTGTGTTGGGATTCTGCCTCTGGCAGGCATCGTCCACACACATGGCCTGTACTTTATTGAGCTGAAGCATTACCACTGGCCACTCATTTCTTTTGTAGCCCACATTCCCAGGGGCTGAGGGGTTGCGTCGTCTTTTCTGAAATTAGGTTTCATCTGTCACGCCAGACCGGTGCCATCAGCCGCATCACCGACAGAGGCCTCAGGGGCATCCAGTTCATTTTGGGTTCGCTCATCTTCAACGTTGTTCCCACAGCCCTTGAAGTGTCTTTGGTGGCAGGAATCTTAGCATGGAAGTGCGGGGCACCATTTGCTGCGCTCACACTGGGCACCATTGGTGCCTACACGATCTTCACATTTGTTGTCACCCAATGGAGGATTCGTTTCAGGTGAAGCAATGATTATTGGGGTGTTCCCATCCATCCTGGTCCTTGAGGTCCCTGTGAAGTGCTTTTTTCGCATCCTGGTATCATGGGAAAACAGCACAACTGAGCATGCTTTGCTGACTCACAGAATTGCAGCATAGGGGCAGTTTAATTGCCACAGCATCTGTTTCTCTGACAGCCAGTTTGGCGTCTGTCAGGAAGGAAATGTCAGTGGGGGTTGTGTAATATTGTATGGAAAAGAGCAGGGTGTGATGAATGGTAGATGAAATCTTGTCTTGAGAAAGAAAGCTGGCAAATTCATTGTCTGAGAACATTCCTTGTTTCTGCATCAGCAGCATTAACTGTATTGGAATCACATCATGCATTGGTTATGAAGAAAGCACGAACCCTGTATAATCAGGCAGGTTCTGTGAATCCCAGTTTCTGCACACCTATGTTTTGCTTGTGTGATGCTTGTAGTAATCTACCATGATGGACAGCGTCTGCTGGCCATTTGCCAGGTCAGATGTCCTTGAGGTGGTCCAGCTTCTGGCAGCACCCTGCCTCTGCCAGAGAAAGCGCCATTGACGCTGCATTCTTGTTGATGGATGGTGCACCAGCGGACAACAACTTTATGCTTCCATTTGGAAATAACAAATCAAGAGCAACGCACATGGAGGACTCCTGACTGTTTGACTTTCGTTCATGAAGGGAAGAGATGAACAAATGGGATTCGCGGGCTGGCATGCGCATGACCGACTCCCTCATCAACTACGAGACCATCAAATATGTTCAGGCAGAGGATCATGAGCGACGCAGGCATGATGAATGCCTTGCCGGATTTGAAAAGGCAGCGGTTCACACCTGGCAGAGCCTGGCAGTGCTGAACTTTGGGCAGAATGTAATATTCTCTGTCTCACTTGCCACGGCGATGATCATGGCCGCACATGGGATTGCGAGGGGAGAGATGACTGTTGGGGATCTTGTGATGGTGAATGGCCTGCTGTTCCAGGTGCGCCTGCAAAAGAAAGCACATGCCAGCCTGTTTGTTTGCCTCCTACTTTCTATTGGTAACCAACGTGTGGGTGGTGTTGGTCAGAGAACATGGGAGTTGACCACTGGAGAGCAGAGTGTCTTCATGCTCTGCTTGAAAATCTTTAGTGTGTCCACCAAACAGAATCTTGTCCTCTGAACTGGGCAAGCTAAGTTTGCATGGTTGTGTATGTCAGTGCGCTGCCAGTTGTAGTGTCTACATTGTGCACCTGCACGAAAATTCACTCAGTGTGCCCAGCGAAATTGGGGTGCTGGAGTGATGTCTGTCTGACTGCAGAGAGACAGATTCTTGCCAGGCATATAGAATGCAAGAAAGACCAATTTCATTTTGCTCTTGTGTATCCAGGCGGACTATGGCAACTGTGGCAATAGGATGTTGCATGTGTCTCAAATTCGCATGTGATGCAGGATATGCAGGATATATCCCATATAACTGTTATCCCACTGGTGGTTGCACATTGACAATCATGAGACCCGTTGTCCTGCTGGTTGTTGCATATTGGTAGGCATGTGTTGTTGCTTTTTGGGGGTTTTGTGAGAACAGGACCGACTGCCACACCACTGCACAACCAAATTGAGGCTCAATCTAGTCCAAATCGAGGTTCGACCTAGTCGAGCCGAATGGTGGCTCGACCTAATCCGAATCGAGGGAACCATAGCCCATATTGAGGTTCAACCTAGTCCAGCTGTATGGAGTATAATAGTTTGATACCTTTCATCGCAGGAGATGAAGATCAGGAAGGTTGTTTGAGAATTTTGTTGGCAGCTTTCAGGGCTTTTAGGGTTCAGGGTCTAGATTCTGCTTGCTTATGGGGTCGACACTTAATTAGACTGGATTGAACCTCCATTTGGACTAACCTGAGCCTCAACACCCAATCCAAGTTGAGCCAAGTTTTGTTGCACAGCAATTGTGGTGGCAGCCCATGTTGCCGATCCAAAACATGGAATCCAGCCGAGCGGACGCTGCCAAACAAGCAAGATGTTCTGTACGAAGCTGCAACGTATTGCTTGCATTGAAAGCACCCCCTGGCTGTGCTGCACACCGTATACATGAAGACCAACTTCATAGTCTGGGTGAGCGAATTGACTGGCTGTTCAATTGTTCTGCACACAGCTGTCCATCCCCCTCAATTTCCTGGGAACAGTGTACCGTGAAACCAGGCAGTCCATGGTGGATATGGGTGCAATGTTCCGCATATTCAAGGAACAGCCCTTGGTAAAAGATCGCCCGGGAGCCGTGGAGCTGCCAGACCAGCCGCACGGATACGACATCGAGCTGCAAGACGTCCATTTCGGGTACCGACCTGGCTCGCCCACATTGGAGGTGAGAGCTGTGGCACTTGGGCGTGCTTGCTGGTGGGCACTTTGGGTCTGCCTCTCGTCTTGCTTTCGGCCCTGGGTGATATACTGCCTGGTGTCTGCCCTGGGTGAGATGCGAACGCCGTGCAAGGAGAAGAGTCTTGCAAACGATATGGGTGCAGATGGACAGCTATGCAGATATGGGTGCAGATGGACATTGTCATTCATGACCACCGCAATGGATGGCGTACTCCGACTGCCTGCTGCGGCTTTCTGCCTGCTTCGTTCTGTTTGTCCCTGTTCCCCGTGCTGTCCTGCGAAATACTGCTGTGGGAAAGACGCAGCGTAGAGGCTTGCTGTGGCACCAACAATCGCATTGTCCACACCCACCCGACAGCCACATTTTGCAGAATGGCTGCCCAGGGCATGTCGTTGCGCATTCCTGCTGGCACGAGCTGCGCCTTGGTGGGCACCAGCGGCAGCGGGAAGTCGACGATACTCAGGCTGCTGTTCCGCCTTTATGACATTGACGGCGGGTCGGTGAGGGTGGGCGGCCACGACGTGCGGGACCTGAAGAGTTCCAGCCTTCGTGGCAAGATGGGCCAGGTGCCCCAGGACTTGGTGCTGTTCAACGACACCATTTTTCACAACATCAGGTGTGCTGCAGACGTTTTTGGAGTGTCCACGTTTTCGACCACCAAGCCGTCGCTGCGGTCGTTACCTTCTTCAAACATAAGAAATAAACATAAAAACTAATGGTGTCATGGTAGACAGATGATACATGGCAGGTCATAGAGCCATAGGTAATGGAGCCAGTAACGGACAAAAAGTAACGAAGAACAGCAAATCGCAGCTCATTGTTGTAGTCCTGGCTTATGGTGTGCGCACTGGGTTTCCAGGTATGATTACTTGGCCTGGTGGGGTGGGTGGAGGCTTGTCGATGCTACACATTTGTTTGTTTATTTATTCAGTTATTTAGGTATTTAGTTACTCCACTTAGAAGTAAACAAACACTCTGAAGTATTTATTTATTTTGTTAAGGACAGGCTGTAGTAGCGGTGGACTCGCTTGAAAGGTAGGCCGAGTAAGTTGGTGCTTCTGTTTTGCCCATCATAAGAGTCTTGTGGGGCTTTCTCTACTGTGACCCGTTTCACCTTGTGCGATGAGGATAAGAGCTGTTTCTGTTGTGTGAACCCACCGATTGCATTTCCACGACGCCGTGAGTCTGCTATTGGTATCACAGCCGGCATGGGTTGGACAGGTATGGCAACTTGGGCGCTCCTGAGGCTGAGGTGTACCGCGCTGCGGAGAAGGCTCACATACATGACACCATCTTGTCCTTGAAGGATGGCTATGACACTATGGTGGGAGAACGGGGATTGAAGCTAAGTGGAGGCGAGAAACAGCGTGTGGCACTTGCAAGGGTCTTCATGCAGGTGTGATTGGCTGGCCAGTTGCTGTCCATTTGGTAGACATTGACACCAGTTCATTGGAATCAACTCGCAGAGTTGCTTTGCTTGGATTGAGGGTGGTTGGTCATCTGCCAATGATGTGCAATATGCTCCCAAGTGCATGAGAATCGCGAACCATGTTCCACAGCCCTTTTGTGCCAGAAATAGCTGCATAAACAGATGCCAACGGAAACTGCTATATCACAGACACCATCACTAGATTTTGGTGTGCGTCAAATGGGGCATACTGCTGCGACTGCATGCCGTTTCTTCAGCCACTTATGCTGCCCCAAGTGTCTCAAGTATTCCTGGGTCATGTGCCTCTGGGTTGTGGCATTCACTGGCAAAACAGCGCCTGTTTGTCACAATTTCGACCCTGCGTAAATAGTTTCATAGTTCAGGCCATGTTTTGTCAGGGCCCAAACCATGTATTGTAACATGCAGCTGCAGCACCATGTTTCGCTGGTGACTGCACAGGACTGTTCATGCAGAACATGTAGTGAGGGCATCCGTCGCCAGTCCCATTCCAGGGGACTGCGGGATTTAGCTGTCACATGTGGCAGCATGAATGCAATTCTCCGAGAAATTCTCAACTGACATCCTCATTCTCAATTTGTCGAATAATGTCCTCAATTCCAAATAGTATCCTCATGACAACAGTCTCAACCCTCAAAAGACGCTCAAATATTGCTTGTGTTCTGCATGAGGGTTTTGTTCAGCAATTCTTGCCACATGTGAGATGCAAGAGTTACTTGACGCTGCAGGCACATGGCGCCGCACTCTGCAGGTGGCAATTAATGTCCAATTTTGTGTTTTGCCATCCCTTTTTTCTATTTGTCGGTAGGGTATCCACAACAGATGAGCTAGATAGGCAGGCAGTACCGTAGAATGTTGTGTACAACAGTGCCGTGTGTATCTTATGTCCCCTTATGTTTAATCAGCTGTCGATACATTGCTGCCCTTGTTCTTCACGTGCTTGGGGAGTGTTGTCACGTCGATTTGCCTGGGTGCAGAATCCGCGCATTTTCCTGTTCGACGAGGCGACTGCGACAGAGCGACAGATCTTGGAGTCGGTGCGGGACCTTGCGCAGGGGCGAACCTCAGTGTTTGTTGCCCATCGCCTGTCCACAGCTGCACAGTGCGACCAGATTGTTGTGCTGGACGGGGGCCGAATAGTGGAGTCGGGGTCCCATCAGGAGCTGCTGTCAGCAGGAGGGCGGTATGCGCAGTTGTGGGAGAAGCATTCCACCATGGATGACTTGGTTGAGAATTCTGAGACGTGACGGCTGGGCACGCACTGTGCGGTTCCCACCTAACCCCGTGCAGCCTGTTTTCTGGCGGACACTAGTTTTCAGAGAAGTGGTTTGTTCTGGCCCCATGTAGTGGGCAGAGTCATGTTGTCATCGCTTGCAGGGTGCATGGAATGCGAATGCATTTGAGGATTGTGCGAAGCATGGGAGCACTGGGGTACGCTCCTTGAGCAGAATTTGTCGCGGACCATGAATATTGCAGGCTCCGCATGCAGGCATTCTAGAAGTTTCAGGGAACAGTGGAATTGATCGCCCCTCGAATGTTACTGTGTCATGAGCAGTAGAATCGAGAAGCTTTGTCTCCATCCGCTATCAGCTGTCTGCGTCTTCGACGGCTCCCTGGCTTGGCATTTCCGACTAAAGGGCGCCTGTCTGGAGAAGTTCCCGGCGAACTTGTCACAAGTTAAGCCATGGTAGTTGAAGGCGATGGTGCTCCTCTGCAGGGTTGCTGTGTGGCCCAGTAAACAACGGTTGCCTCTCGGGACGCAGGACTTCCATTTTTGGGGCCTAGAATTGCGGTGATGCTTGATGCCGCTTGAGAACGGTTTTGGCGCGGGCAAGAACGGCACGGTGAGCAACATGGCTGTGGCAAAGCCTGGCAATCAAGCGCTCACAAGTGCAGGTGTCGGAATCCCATTTGCTCAGAAATTCGCACTCCGCTGACTTTGTGCCGGCCAGAGAGCCCCACAGCGCTGAAGTTCGCTTGCGTGACGGTCGCGAGAAAGACAGTACATGGACCAACAGGTCGCGGACAATTTTCTCGCGGATTCGCTGAACAGCGGAAAGGAAGTGTCTCAAGAATTTGCGCAACCGTAGTAATGCTACACTACAGAGTGCGCTAGCCGTGGAGTAACGGGTACACTGCACAAGAGACAAGACGGCTGACAATGTATTTGCATGGTTCAATGAGGTGATGGGAAAGGGTCCCAGGGTTTCAGTGATGCAACGAATCATTAATTGTGTCGGCTGGCTGGAAGAAGGATCTCATTAAGCAGAAGCTGCAGCGATGCCTTGTGATGACGCGGTCGCTGAAGGTGTGTTTAATCAACTCAACGATTGATGCCCATCGTGGACATTGCTGTGTTCGTGCGAAATGGGCAGGTGATGACTACCGCCTGGCCATGGCATGCAGTTTTTCTTGAGTAAAGGAGTTATACGTGCTGACAGTTGGCGACCGGTTGGGAGACAAAACGCCACAGGGTGGTTGGGAAGGTCGACTTCGGCAATCGTGCGTCAGCCATTGCGACACAGCAGGGTCGCAGGGCAAGGGCGTTGCTGCTGCCAATGTGCAGCTTTCCGGGGCCAGGCTGATTGGGCAGATGAATGGTGATAACAGTGTAGGGAAATGTTCAACGTGCACTATCAGTGCCACAGTGAACTTCATGTATTGAGAAGTCTTCTCATAGGCCATTGTCCATAAGCAAATTCTCGAAGCACCGAAGCCGTTGCTTTTCTTGTCCTTGGCGAATGATGGGAACCTCACAAAAGAACACGCGCAATATAATGCACTATCTCACAAGCAATTTCAAGCTTTTCCGCACATGCGCTTGCAACCGGGAGCTCTCCTGTCAAGACTACTAGGAGTAAGGTCAGGCAGCGAATAAAGCCTGTCAAAACTGGTTCGGTGCGGCTGTGAACAGGAGGACGTGGTCACAGGCAATTCCCGTGAAGGTAGTGTGGTCCCAGATCTGGAGCTGCATTCAGGGCGTGCAAACTGGCCCATGACAAACCGCGTCCGCATCACTACCCCATTTTGCTATGCGTACAGTATGTTCTTTTGGACAGCATGTTCTTTGGCCCGATACATGCTCTGGGACAGGCAAACACATACCTTGGGATAGTAGCCAGGTGGCACACCACGGGGACATAGTGCACTAACTACGGAAAGTGGGTTGAACACTGCAGTTTACATTTTCATATACATATACGTTTCATCTATATTTTCCTTTACTTTTCACTTTGCTTGCGTTTCCTTGTGCAGATCAACAGGATCCTGACTAGCCAAATCGAACAAAGAGTTTCGTGATGGAACATTTAGAACAAAAATACCCTACATTGAAATCTTGTGAATGGACCTAAGCGTTTTCTCTCTTGCATTGGGGCACGCGATCTTGATGTACGGAATTCAGAGCCGCGTTTTCGAGCTTCCTTTGTATTTCTGCGAGATTCAGTGCATAGATGATCCCGCCTGGGAAGTCGGTCTCATGTGCACGGCGGTACAGAAGTGGACGGCTCTTTTCGTGCGTGAGGAAAGACCCCATGTCGAATTGGGTACGCTCACCGTCAATTTGGCGCTAAGATTGGGATGATTCCAACCCGCAGGACGGAGCAACCTCACCACCATGGGCCAGAATGCCCTCCTGTGCTGCTGCCCGGGCTGCAGCATCTGCCAAGGTGCTTCCCCGCACACCGGGATGGCTGGGAGTCCACCAAAGTCCAACATCAACCCCACGGTCGTGAAGGCGGGCAAGGGCATCGCACGTAGCAAGTGCCAGCTCTTAGAGAGTGGAGGCGGCGGGGACCACTTGAGGGCCGACTTTCACACGGGGCCCACGAGTGCATGTTTTCTATTGCCCGTGACTTGTTTGTGTGTTGTGCTCAGTTTTGCTTCTGAGGCTCTATACCAACTTCTCACAGCATGGAAAAGAGCCTCATATACACTTGCCTAGGAGGGGAACCCCTTTGTACGAATTCTTTCTCTTTCTCTTCTGTAATGGAAGGCGCTATGTCGATTTGGTTAAGCTTAGCGTCAATTTGACGTTAGGCTCAAGCCCACCCACCCACCCACCCACCCACCTCTCAGCGTCAATCTTCACGTCGATGCAAGGATGACTCAGTTACATTACGTGACTGTGATATGCAATTTCTAAGTGGTTTTTAGGATCAAAAATAGTCAAAGTTGTGCTCATTTCAGTGCATTGAGGAATGGGTTTTCAAATGGCATTATAGGCGAGGCGGGCAGCCTTAATTGTTGTAGATTCATCCATTTTAAGGCCTTTCTTATCATCGAAATTTGCAGGCAGTTTAGGAAGAAGTGATGAGATGTTTCTAGCTGATCCGCAGCGCTTTCGGGTATCTTTCCTCCTTATGTCGATGTTGTTGCAATTACATAATCTCTTAGCGTCACAGGTCTGGACACCCCCCTCCCCTTTAGCTCCAATTTGACGCTAAGCGTAACAAAATCGACATATTATCTTCCCTAACAAATTTTGCCCCCTTCCCTCCCTCTTAGCGTCAATCCTTATGTCGATGCCAGGACGACTCGGTACCATTACCTAATAGCCGGACAAAACTTTCAAGGTGTTTTGAGGTGGATAATAGCCAGAGCTCAGCGACTGTAGAGGATTGTAAATTGAGATTGTAGAGGCCGCGGCAGGCGATGGGAGCAGCCCTGGGAGCTCTCAAGTCAGATAACATGGGGCTTTCCTTCAAGACTGGACGCTTCAAGGAGTTTCTAAAGTAATTCATAAGTTGTTTGCCACTGATCAGCAGCACTTCGGGGATGCCCACACCCTTAGGGTGATAGGCTATCTCGTTCTTGCAGCAATTACATAATCCATTAGCGTCACAGGTCCGGACTCTCCCCCCCGCCCTAGCGTCAAATTGACGCTAAGCCTACCAATTTCGACATAGTGCCGTCCCTAAGCTGTCACGTAGCGTGCGTTCCCTCTCGACGTGCCTCCGCGAAGCACAAACCAAATAGTGTGTGCAGCCTTCTTGCAACAAGTGGCTGCGGTGCAGGCTGTGTGCACGACAGATGGAGGTGCACGCGTGGGGCGGCAAGCTTTTCCCGCCCAACAAGACTACTTTGTGTGGCCCACATGGTTATGCGATTACGATTTTGTGTCCCACACAAGGGATTTACAATGGCACTGACAATGCACTCCGGAGTGCATTATATTGGGGGATCCCCCAAGGTACTAACAGTGGCATTTATAGGGGACTCCGCCAAGGGACTTGTAATGGCACTGATGGCAATGCCAATTACAAGTGCACTCCTCCACTCGCTCTCGTGAGGGCTGCTAGGCTGATCAAAGTGCCTTGATTCAAGGCGGCGGAAAAAACCGGACGTGCACATTAGTCTTCGGGGGTGATGCACTGACCGGCTGTGTGCACTCGCCGTAGCATCGACATACAGGCAACGGAACCAATTGCAGCGTGCCCCGCGCACGCGCAGTGCGCACTGCCATCCCTGGAGCCCCCTCCTGATTTGCATCGCAGTTGAGATTGAACTGCTGCAGCCAGCCAAATCGGGCGAATCAAATGAATCTGCCCTCAGCCAATGGTTACCACATTGGCTGCGTGAAAAACATGGCAAAGGTACGACTGATGAATGGCTTCGAACCGGCGCCCTCGGCCGCGTCTAAGAAGCACCTCGTGCCGGCGCCTGAGCTGCGTCCTCGGCACACGGTGCAGTGAGAGCATATGTCGCAAGGGCGGTCGTTGCTTTGCGCCGCTGCCCATCGCTCTCATCACAAAACCCCCAACATCCAATGAACAAGCTTGGGGGTGGGGGTGGGGGCTGTCCGCCCAAAAAATGGGTCGCTCCTGGCGCACTCCGCGCCGAGCAGCATTGCGGGACATCGCCTCCGCGGCTGCAATTTACCCTGCTGGAAGATTTCCCGGCTGTCACCCCGCAAGTCTCCCAGCTGGGAGGCGGCCACCGAGGTGCGGGCCCTGAGGACCGGGATCCGCTGAATTCCGCCCCCGCGGCGCGCCTCGGGCCCCACGCCCAATGGGCAGCCCCCTGTGGGCCCAATGGCGGCACCGCATCGCGTTTGACCGTCAACGCAGCCCAGCGGCGCGTCAAGCCAATCACCGACCTCCTGGGCGCCAATCCACAGCCAGCACAGCTCGCGACATTCCCTCCAGGGGCAACCCTGACCCAGCGGCGGCTCCAGGCGGGCACAACGAGGCTTCCGCCCTGCCACTTGGCATGCTTTTCTCGTAAGTTGGCCATTCTCGGCCTGATGAGTAATGTCCGTTGCGCGGCCTGGCGCGGCATGCGCCCTGACAGCTGCTCAACCGCCGCCGCGCGCTGATGCCCTCCCGCCCGGCCAATTGGCATTGTCCCGTCATTGGCACTGGATATTTTGCCCTTGCCCCCGCGCCCGGGCCCCGTGTTAATATTCGTGAATCCTGCGAACGCAGAAAATAGCCCACTGCCCTTCTGAGGGGGGCCATCCAGGCCCAGCCGGGAGGCAGCGACAGTGGGGCTGGGTCCGCCTGTGGTCCGCCGACGGAGCTTCCGACGCGCTTCCCACTCGCTTCCAGGCAGCGGCACGGGCGGCGGTTGCCTTGGAGAGGGGCGAGTCTGCGGCGCCCTGGGGACGGCCAGTCGGTCCACAGGGGACAGGAGCAGCCGGGCCACGCTTCGCCCATCCCAAGTAATGTCGCCGGCCGCGGCGGGCCCGCTCGGGCATGACAGTGGGTCAGGAGGGGCAACGCGGCCCTCGTCAACGCCATTCATTGACCATTGGAATCCGGGCATGTTGCATGTTGGGAGGCCGCCGTCGCCACACGCGTGAGTATCAGACCCGTTCCGGTCTCTGCCGGGATGCATCCGCGCGAGCGCCGCGGCTCCCGTCGCCAGTGTTTGTTGCAGAATCCCGCGCTTCTTGCGAATTCCTCCAATCTGTATGATTGGCCGATTTGCGCGCCCGCTCTTGCATGATCGGTTAATGAAGTGGGGTAGCCTCTGACAATTTCCATGGAGTTAGTGTCTCGAATGCTCCCAATCCGCCGCGATCCAGCACTAGTAATGGATCGATATACTTGATACTGGATCGATTGGCCGCCTCCCTCGCGGATCGTGGACGTAGCCTGTGCTCCGTTGGCTTCCAGAAATTTCTTCAGAGATAGCGTAAATTCTCATTGAACTGGGTCCGGGTCCAGATTCCGGATATGTACCCGGAAAAAGGGCAGGAGCTTAATTTTGCCGCTCCCGCAACCATTGAACATCTGGCACCCGTCTCTATGGCATTGAGCGAATATCGCTGAAGGATGAACAGCGCTACGCGCGCGCCGGCACAGGCACACGCGCCGCTCGGCTGCATTTTAAAAGCGGCACTCTGCGGTTGTCTTTCTTACAAGGAGAGGGATTGAACAAGTCCAGTCCCTCTCCTTCTCCTCAGCTGCGGTTTTCGGTACGTCCACATGGCTGACGTCTTCCTCTTCCGAGAGATATCCACCGAAGTTGCGGTAACTCTTGCGGCGGCTATTGCACTGCTGTGGGTTGATGTCGAATTCTGATGCATGTTTCTCAGAAACATGCGCTATTAACATGCACAAATAAACGCGACAATCCCCCGGAATTTGTCACTGCTTGTGCGGTTTTTGTTGGACCACCAAATTTCTATTTGCGTTTGGACCATGATGCTATTGAACCGATCCTATCAGATGGAAATGAAGGGCGGGAACAATCAGCACAACTGTGCCAAGGGCTGCCTGCTGAAGTGCAAGCTTCATGAAGAATGGGACAAAATGGTGGATTATCCTTGTGGGCTATTGCGCAGAGTCCATTGCACCATTCCGCTGTTTAAGCCATTATTCGAACCAAAAATTGAGAGTTCATTGCATCGACATTGAGCTGGGCGCGGACGTCCAATTAGCCGCAGTGATGACCCTCGCAAGGGTTGTCATTCAAATCTTTTCCTCACAAAAAGGAGGGCAGCCAATGCGAATCGCCGGCTCTCTTCCCTGTTTGGAATTTCCCATTCGGAATCTCCGAACCCATCGTTGTTCAGCGGTCGATTTACCAATTGGTGCGTTTGTCGAGGTTCGGCAGCGAGAGGGCTCACGCTCCTGCGCCACCTCGCAGCTGCCCGCGACTTTGACCCTATCAAACTCAAACTCTGCGGCAACTGCGCAGGGGTGCGGTGCGCAAAGCGCCGGTGCCCCGCTGAGCACCAAACCGTCGCCCCGAGGCTCGCAAGGGCTACCCTGCGTTGGCGGCTGCAAGTGACCGAGCCGTTTGACACGTGCCTCGCCGAATGGCAATTGCAGTTCGCGATATCAGTCCCACACACTAGAGGCAACACCAACGGAAGGAAAGCCGCTCACTCGCGCTCTCCGCTTAAGTCGTGGGCGGTAAAGCGAGCGGCAGAAGTGGGAAACAGCTTCGCATGCGGAGGCCCGCGCCGGTCGTCCCTTTCGGTTGACGAGCATGCAATGCAAAGGGCAGCGCGCACGCATGGGTTGAATGCAGAACCGCCGTTGCAGCTCGCTGCAGTCTGTGGGGCGCCGACCAGGCGCTCCCAGCCGCCCGCCCAAGCGCGTTGCATACAGGCCGCCGTTTTGTGTGGGCGCTGCCGTTCAGATTCTCCAAGCAAAGTTGCCGGAAAACATTGAAGGCGCCGGAGCACGGCGCGTCCAAGTCATTCCGCCGCACCATTTTCTCGCTGCCGTTTCAAACCGTCGGCAGAGCGGACGGCCGGCCGCAGCGCCTGGCGGCGGTCCCTTCACCCGCGGCCCGCCAGTCGCGAGCCACGACGGGGCCGCCCGGCCTCAGGCCCCCGGACAAGTAATTCCCCCTCACGGGAAGCAGAAGTCACGGTCGAACCTCGATATCGTCATGTGCACACGTCAACGTCGCGGCATCGCTGTCAAGGACCCTGTTGAGTAAACCCCCGCCCGTTGCACTCAGGAAGTCTGCGACTGCGCTCCGGCCACCGACCCTCCCTGCCCGTTGCCCAGCGCACGGCGCGGAGCCACCAGCGCGGCGGCGCCTACCCGGCGGGCTCCATCCTGGGCTCGCGGCAGGCCGCGGATTTCTCCCACTGCCCGAGCGCCCACGCCGAGAGTGCCGCGGGGGGGACGGCGGGGTGGCTGGCGGTGCTTCCGTTCGACCGCCGCAGGGACGACCGGCTGCGGGTGTCGGCGCGGGCGGCGCGTCCGGCGGTGGGTCTGGGGCATGGGCAATGGCCCTGGGGCGCGAAGGGGATCTGGGAATGGTCCCCGTCGTGGCGATTGCGTGAGGATCTGGGGAAGGGATGCCTGGGCGAGCCAACCGGCTCTGGGCGTCAGGAGGCTGGGGCCCAGCCCGCTCCGGGTTTTTTCCTGACCTGTTTTGGCTTTGGGGGACCTCGCGATGGTGGGGAAGTTGTGGTCGGCAGCGCTGCGTGCAGTGAAGATGAGGGCGCCCGCCTGCGCGGCGACGGCGAGCGTTTCTGCCGGCACCCGGGCGGCTTTGGGGAATTGGGCGACGGGAGGGCGGAACGGGTCGGTGCTACCGCGGCCTTGGCGCCTGCGTGTCGGAAGTGGGCGCCGCCGGGGGACAGGCGGCCCGCGCGGTGCTGCGAGACGGGGGTCGGCCCGCGGTTGCCACGCGATTGGCCGGTCGGGGAGCAAGCGCATCGCGTTTGCAGTCGCGATGCCGAACGTCGGACGCGCCCGTGCGGCGGAGGGAGGGGGGGCCGAGGTCAGCGTCGCGGACGGTCGTCTGCGGCGCTCTGGGGCGGTTGAGCGCGCCGCCTGGCGCGCAGCGCGGCCTGAATGGCGTGCATGCGCGACGGGCGACTTTGTCGTGTGGTCTTGGGAGCAGGGCCGGCGCTTCGCGGGAATCCTGTCTGCCGATTGTCGGACTCGTGCGGCAATCGGTGCGGGGAAAAGGCGTGACTTTGGGTGTGGAAGTTGCCGGCGCGCGGCGGACCCCACTGCTGGCTGGCACCCGCTGAGGGGACGCGGTTTATTGTGGCCATGTACAGGTGATTGTAGATGGGCGACGCCAACCAGAACAGCAACAGCGCCAACACTCCAGACGCCTCTAGCCCCCCGCTCAAGCCTCGGGACAATGTGGAGGACGTGGAGATGCAGGAAGCCGGAGACCTTGACGATCCCACCTCCTGCCCCTTCACGTCTCCCTCGAAGCGCGTCGTCTATAGCGACCGCTTCATACCGAGTCGGGCAGAGTCGTCGCATCTGAACTACAGTGTGCTGGAAAGGGACATGGCGGCCGCGGAAGTGTCGAAGAGCGGCCTGTCCCGGGAGGTAGGGAAAAAGCCCTGTCCGCAAATCCTGGAAGTCAACAGCACGGGGTGGGCACAATGGAGTTTGGAAACGCAGGGCCAGCTGTGGCTGCACAAGGGGATCGCCGACAGGTTCTGGCCACGCTAGGTTGATGATGGTGCGGGATGTGTTCCAGAATCCTCCAACGAGTGGTGCTTGGTGCTTGCCATGTGTGGCGTCGTTGCTGCGAGGGTCAGCAGCCCTAATAATGGAATTATCATTGTGCTGTTGGGTTCTCAGACAACTTATCTGTACAAGACGTTGGGATCATTGCCATCTTCCTCATCCTTGAGCTGTTGTTACTCCTTGACAAAAAGGGGCATTACTGGTGACAATGGTGGTGAGGCTGGACATGCTTGTGCACTGTGTTGTGCTGTTGACTCAATGACAAGCCAAGCCTGCGGGGTATGCTTCAGCAGTTTGTTGCCCATGCTGAATGCAGGGAGCATCCATTCAGTTCACATCACTAACGGCAGTCAGACATTGTGTGTACTGCTCAGGATTTCAACCCAGCCTACAACCTGCTGCTTCAATCGGAGCTCCTTGGGTACAGGAGCTCTCAACCGATCTCGCCAGACAAGCATGTGCAGCTTGAGCAGCTCAAGTCACCAAGAAAGTGAGTGGCAGCTTTTCTGCTGCAGTGGCTTGGTGCTGCTAGGTGGGAAGGGGTGGCAGCTCGTTGGTGCATGCTCCTGGGGGCTGGCAAGCACGTAGGGGCGATGCAGGTGGCTTTTGAGTAGAAAACAGCAGTTCCTGGCTTCAGGGCTGGCAGGGCAGGTCGACTTCTGGCATGCCACTGAGCTCTGTGTTTGCAATGTTGTGCTCAGTGGGAAGAGGAAGATGCTCAGGTTCAAGAGTGGGGACTGTGAAGCCCCTTCCGGTGGGCCCTCACCACAGTCACCATACTCTAAATCCCCTCTTGGTGGCGATGGTGTGCTGGGGGCGTCAGTCCCAATGCACAGGAGGGCCCCAAGGCGCATCGCAAGGGCACCGTTCAAGGTGATGATGCTATCCCTGTCCCCATGCACACCAACCCAACCAGCAGATGTCCCATACATGTGCCACACTGGCATCGACCATTATAGCATTTTCAATGCCCATCGTTGCCCAGCGATGCCCTTTATCCTTTTGGGCAACATTGTGCACTGCAGCTTCCTCAGTTGCTTGCTCCCAGCATGGTTTTATTCCCGTTTGCCACTGAGCAGCCCCATGCGCTGCAGGTTGACTTCAGCAAAGCACACCGTAGTGCCTGTGCGAATGGTTTGTGCTCATCCGATGCCTTGGACATTACCACAGGGACTCTGCCAGAGTATGAGCAAGATACCAGGCCATATACGAGCCCTCAATTTTGCCAAAGAGTATCTCACCACAAACCTAACCCGCTCCTGGCCACCCCAGGCTCCTTACAACATAGTACATCATCCATTTTATTATTGCGTAATTATCAGCTGGCAACAGGCTGCCAGTTCTTTGCTGGTGTGCTGAAATTGTGACTGCCATCCTCTGTGCAGGTTCTGGATGCTCCGCAACTGCAAGATGACTACTACTTGAATCTTGTGGACTGGTCAACACAAAATGTCCTGGCTGTGGGACTTGGCACATGCGTGTACCTGTGGAGTGCGTGCACAAGCAGGGTGAGTCATCTGCTGGGGCTTCAGATAAACGATCCCACAAGCACTTTCCATTGTTTGCAGTTTTGCCACAGAATCGAAATTGTGTTGCATCAGATTGCAGCTGCGAACGTGTTGCAATACTGATGCACCGATCTGTCCGTGAGATGTGCACCCCTGTGTGCGATCTGACTTGTGTGCATGTGGTGACACAGGTCACAAAACTTTGCGACCTGGCCCCCAGCGACAGTGTTTGTTCTGTTGCGTGGTCGCAAAGGGGCACCTACCTGTCAGTTGGCACGCACCTTGGAGACGTCCAGCTCTGGGACACCCAGAAGCTGGAGAAGCTGAGGACAATGGGGGGGCACAGGGTGCGAGTGGGGACCATGTCTTGGCACACTCGCCTGCTGTCTTCAGGAAGCCGGGACAGGAACATTCTACAGCATGATGTACGAGTGAAGGAAAACTACGTCAGCAAACTCGTTGGCCACAAGTCTGAAGTTTGTGGACTGAAGGCAAGTGCGATTGCTTACCGGAGGCTGTGGTGACACGGCATGCATGTGGTGTCTGTTCAGTCTTGCCGGGTTCTCAGGAGACCTGGGACAGATTTGCAAGAGTTTCTGCTACAGGATGGGTCAAGTGAGTTGTGTCGCACACGTTGAATTGTCCCTGTCTCCTCTCCAACATCCACCATTGTGCTATTTGCCAAAAGTGCTTGCTTCTTGTACTTCTGTAGCGAATTCGGGCTTTCTTAGGTGTGTGCTTCAGTGCAAGCTGTAGTAGCACGCATCCATGTCTGTATTAGGCCGTGTCTGTCCATGAATCAACTGCATTTGTCCAAACTGCTATGTCCCCATGCACACTTGTGGGCACTCGTGCATGGCTGCTTCCCAGCTTGTGGGTATTTGCGAGGGATTTGACTTGGGTCTGTGCTGCGCTGGTGCCACCAGTGGTCACCCGATGACAGGCAGCTGGCATCAGGTGGCAATGACAACCAGCTGTACATCTGGGAGCTCAACTCCACAAGCCCCCTGCTCCAGTTCAAGGAACACTCGGCAGCAGTCAAGGCTATAGCCTGGTCCCCTCACCAACATGGACTCCTTGCTTCTGGTGGCGGCACTGCAGACAGATGCATCAGGTTGGCTAAATGTTCATGGCTAAAGGGACAAAGACCGAGGTCGCATTGATCCCTGTCATTTCAGTGCATGGCTTTTGCTTTGCCATATTTGACACAGGCAGACAGGAGGATGCCCTTGGTGTCTGTGATCTGCTGGACTGGATGATTTGTTCCCTTGGCCGCATGGCTTTAATATGCCTTGTAAGTTAGAGCCGGTTGAGTTGTTGATGTGCGGCCTCGGCCTGGCACCTCTGCCAACAGACAACCATTCACAGCTTGAAGTTTTGACAGGCTCAAACTGACCTCAGATTCTTCTTTTCCTTAGGTTTTGGAATACAACAACCAACATGGCCTTGAATTCAGTGGACACTGGCAGCCAAGTGTGCAATTTGTCATGGTCCAAGAATGTGAACGAGATCGTGAGTACACATGGGTACAGTCAGAATCAGATAATCGTGTGGAAGTACCCATCGATGACAAAATTGGCAACACTCACAGGCCACACTCTGCGAGTTCTGTATCTGGCTGTGTCCCCAGATGGTCAGACTATTGTCACAGGCGCAGGTAAGATTTGTTTACCAGTTGATCGTTCCTTTTAGTTTGAGGAGTGTCCCTTTTGGAGTTTGCTTGAGTGTGACAGTGCATTGGCATGTGTCTATCACATCAGCACAATCGTTCTGCACGCGTGGGTCACAGGGAGCCAAAGGCGTTGCTACAAATGGATCCCATATCTGTAGACTCTGTGTGGTATTAGCCAGAACCTTGCTGTTCCACATCACACTGTCTCCCTTGTCATCAGTGTACCATTCGCTAATGACACCTTGTGTTTATCTCCCACACGTGCTCCAACAAGGCAGGTCACTACTTTTCTGCATCTATATGTTGAGCATCCCGAATCGTTTATGTGGGAACATGTCTGGTGGGTAGAAGGCCGCACCTGTCCACTCCTCACCTGAAGTACATTTTCTTGCCCTTTCCAGGCTCACTTGCTTTGGGACTCTGTGCACCTATTGATCAGTCTTTGCGGTTTGGGATTCAGTGATCGATCGTACATCATTCTGCAAGTTACAAATCTCTTCTGTTTTGGTGCCAGTATATTGCTGGGAATGGCGCACTGCCAGGTATTTTGTGAAATAAGGCTTTTAATTGGGGATGACAAGTTCGGGTTCACCTCCCTGCATTTTGGGACAGTCAGCCAGAAGAGTGAACAGCGGCAGCGATAGGTCGCTGGTGCGTCCGACAGGCTTAATGCGCAGGAGAACTGGAGAGCAGGAAGGCTTGAGTGAGTGTGTTTTTGCTGCCTTTTGCCTCAGGTGATGAAACCCTTCGCTTCTGGACTGTATTCCCAGGCCCCAGGTCTCAAGCAGGCGAAAACGATGCAAATGTGTCCTTCATGAGAAGCCAGATTAGGTAGACTGGAGATGGGGAGGGGGCAGCGTCGTACTTACCAAGACAGAGAGGAAAGATAGGTGATTTTGATCAACATACATAATTCAAAGTGTCTGTACAATGACCCAGGCTAGTGTAGGAAATGTAGAGACTTTGAGAGGAAGGTGAAGCAGAGGCATGCAGATCACGCGCAGAGGGGCATGTGTCCGTTGGGGACAGCGAGGTGCCAGATTCCCTGGGCGAAAGTCATCGCAGGCGTGACCACTGGACAATGGGCAAGTTGTGTAGTGTGCACTCCGATTTGTGAGAGCCTTGGTGGGCTGCTAGGCCACAGCCAACATGCTGCTCAGACTCTGGCACACAAGAGGGGGGGGGGATTTGGACTGTGCTCTATTTTTAGCAGAGGGTTAGAGAGAAGGCACCAAGAAATGCAGGCAGGGTGTTACAGCGGTGTAGCACAGCAAAGGAATAGGGATTTATTTCGACAAGAGGCAGCACAGGACACTGTCCGGTTCTTGTGGAACATATGAATTGTAATAAGCAGCAATCTCGATGCCTGCGTCGTTGAAGCATGGGAGTAGCTTTTGCCATCGATGTGGGAGACTCTCAGAGGGCCAGCTGACCAGAGCAGGCTGCGATCTGACCAAGCTTCTGGCTGGTGTGTGCATGCTGTTCTCAGGCACACATACCATGACAGCAAGTGGCTAGCCAGTGCTGAAGCCAAAGGGGAGGGGGGCCGCAAGTGCTTGGATGCTGCACATTTCCATCTGTCTTTGCTGGTCCCCTGTTCCTGCAAAACGCCCAGTGACTTGCGTGGCAGGCCTGCATCGCAATTTACAGCAGATTGTCACATCAGTCACAATTTACAACAGATTGTCCGGCAGATCCCAAAGACTTCGATGCCTGCAGCTCGTCCATGTTTCTGTGGCTCGGACAGGAGCGCGGAATCTGGGTGTTGGGTGTTTTCGACGCAGTTTGCTCATGCTGCCGTGGCGTTTTGGAGGCGTGCCTCCAGCAAGCGACACAACCACAGGCAAAGCCACCTCAACAGTGTGCAAGCCAGTGACCCGAAGCGCCCGATGGTCCGCGACCGGCCCACTTTAGGTGGTGGCAGCGCCCGAGGCCGGACCCACCTGCAGCGCTGTCAGGAGAACTGTGGGTGGACTGGACAGCCAGATTGTGCATTCGTCTCCTCGCTGAAGTCGTAGTCTGTTTGGTAGACAGTGGCACTATCAATGTGCACCCAAGTCCCAGAGCAAATACTGAAAACCGATTCGCAGGCCGACCGACCGTGCCAGCAAAACGACCACAGCGTTAGTGAATTGCCGCCGCCACGACGCTTGGCCACCCCGACATCAGGCTTCCACATCTGTTCACAGTACGTTTTAGTTCGATGGTAGAAAGGACGACTGAACTGGGGATCGAACCGGGTACCTCTGGTGGGACATCCCCATGCTCTACCAAACCACCTGGCCAGAGGCAAGGCAGAGGGCATTCCACCCCCCTCAAGTGTCATTCTACCAAACACACTAAACGACAGCCTGCCCGCTTGGATCGGCACTGCCGTTGGGTAGAATGGTACTTAAGGAAGTGGACTGCCCTCCACCTCGCTGTCCAAGAAAGCCGACTCTGGCAGCTGTACTACGTACAAAGCATCAACAGCTGCGGAAAGAACGCGCTGCCTTGCCCCTGGCCAGTGCCCCTGGCCTGGTATAAATTCTCAGCCAACTTGACAGATAATTTCTTGGAGGATTTGCGTCGATTTCATCTGCCTCTGCTCCCGCTCCCCACCCTTGGCACAATCCCTCTGTCCGGCCTGACCAGCGTCTGGCCTGAACGGAGCAACAGGCGGCAGTTTTTGCCGCACCCGGCGTCCGTTCCAGCCGTGGCGCTCGCCTCTCGCCATGGAAGGGGTGAGGGCACGGCCGCCGGCGCAGGGCCTCCCAGCCTGCCCTCTCGCGTGCTGGCGATCTCGGGGCGTGGGGTGTCCCCGCACTCCCTCGGACCGACCTATGGCCCCTAGCCGAACTGGGCAGGCGCCAGTCGTGGGCGCCTCAGTTTTGGACCTGCAGAATTTTTTGCGGTTTGAGACGTCCGCCGCTGCGGTGCGCAGGTTGAGCAACTGGACAACGGCATCGCCGGTCCCGGCATGGGGGCGCCCGTGGCCACGGGTCCGCAGCCCGACAGCCCGCGCACGGTGTGGTTCCGCGCGAACCGTGCCAAGCTGGATGAGAAGGAGGAGGAGGAGAAGAAGGCCAAGGTGGCGATCGAGGCGAAGGCCAAGGCCTACGTGAAGCAGTTCAATGAGGTGGGCGTCCTTGTCTTGGTGACCGGGCTGGGTTCAGGAGGCTGCCTGTTGCTGGCAACCCGTGCTGCGCCCTTTTGCGTGAGTTGGCGGTTAGATTCCCAACATCGCATCACTTGCAGAGCCCACGTGCCGGCCCCATCCCAGCAGGGGAGTTGTTTGCGCAGTGCCAATTCACAAGTGCAAGGCGATGTAGAGATTGATCGCGTGCAATTGACAGCGCAGTCTCAAAGAAGAGAGGTTCAGCCCTGGGGCGGGGTGGGGCTGGGGGGGATGTGGTTGTGCAGAAATTATGGCGAATCGCTGTGGTTCTTCGTTTCTGCCATCCAAATCGAGAACATGTGGTGTTGTTGCTCATCAGCATCATGGAGCGTTAGCGCTGGGAATTGCTGTGTCTCCTGTGCCTGCAGAAATCCAATGTGTCCATAAACCGGAAACTGCTTTCCAGAAAAGGGCCAGTGCTGTCCCCCATTTCTGCTGTGTGTGATCAGCCTGCGTTTTGAATTGGTTGGGGGAGCAAAGTGTACATGAAGCTGCGCATTTCTCAGCGACGCGAACCCTTGGGGTCAAATGCTCGACAACTGTCCGTTCTGGCAGTTTCATGGGCCAACAATCGCTATATGGCAATCGCGCTGAACAACTGGCATGTCTGAGGGTGCGGAGAGGGGCCCACAGCAGCGTGTCTATCTCACACAATGCTGTGCTCTGCGTTGTGAATTTCAGCTTCGTTGTTGATTGGGTTCTGTAAAGATCACCTTCTGGCGTGAAGGGGACCATGAAATGCAAGGGGCAACCCCTCAGACCAAGGATTATGGACCCCTCTCTTCTGCACTGTGCTAGTGGCACCGGGATCTCCATGCAAAACAGAAATGTGATATGCAAATGGAGATCTGATTACCTGTACTGATACTGCACTTGATTGCAGTACTCAATAGCAGTCTTGCAAGGTGTTTTTGCAGATATCTCTGCTTCCCTTATGTTCCCACCTATCACATGGTGGGCTGGGTATGTCCCAAGTGGGCTGACGGCCCATGGGTGTGCTTTCTGCAGCAACGCCAGAAGGGCATACAGGAACGGAAGGCGGCCAACAGGGCTGAAGAGCAGAACACAAAGGAAGTGACAAAGGGTCCGCAGAGCGGCAACACATGGGAGGGCATCGTTTCCCTGATCAACTTTAATCTGGGAGCTCAACAGAAGGACACTGCAAGGCTTCGAACGATGTTGTTTCAAGCCCGAGAAAGCAACCTGCCCATCAAGGAAGCTTAGGATGTTAACGGCACTGGCAAGGCTGCAACTGGGCTCCAGAGAGAGAGGCCTTGGTGGAGTGCTGCGAATTCTTTCAACTGGACACGTGTCATTGCATGGGGGCTCTGGAGAGCAATGCCTGGCTGCGTTATTCGTGGGTGGGATGTCTGTGAATGCGAGCTTTGTGGGTGGCGCTTGAAATAGGCGCAGAACGGACTCTGTGGCCAATGAGATGACATACAACATCCGCAGGAGGAAATTGTGCAAGGAACATTTTGGACTGCGGTCTGTGGTCCACCTTTCCAATGGATGGTGGTTGGCTGCAATAAAGTGGGGAGGCTCCCTTCGGTCTCAATCAGGCCGTTTGGACAATACTTTAAAGCAGATAGGGAGTGTGCCACTCCCCATGGGTCACAGGCCATTCGGGTGGTGTGTTGCAGTGTTCAGGCTCCCACCATGATGGTGTGTGTACCTTTCACTACGCATCGGTCCAAGCAAGCCTCACCCCAGAGATGTCCTTCTCCCAGCACAATGCATGGTGCCTTGTAGGACTTGCAGCCTGAACCCCTGTGTGTGTGAGCGTGTTGCCCCTTTGGTGCTGATCATCAATGCAACAATAGTCGCCACGCGTGGTTCTGATGTGCTTCGGAAACAAGCGCGAACTGCCTTTGTCCCCAAGTAAAGCAACAGTTCTTCAACAGCGTTATCCTTGTGCTTAAACCAAATCAGAAGTTGGAAAAGGTTGTGCACCTCTGTGGTTGTGAGTGCAGTGGGCACTGTCCAAATCGAATGCTGCTTCCTGTGCATTCCTGATACTCTTTGAGGTGAACGACGAAATTCCATTGATTCCCCAATTGTATGCGCTTTGACGGAAGAGATGCGTGGCTAGGGGAAGCATTTTCTTCCTGATTTGAGGTTGCCCGGTGAGGTTCAGCGCCTGGGCTGCCCGAAGGGGGTGTTGCTTGAACGTTAGGTCTTTTCTATATGTGGTGCGTAGTCCGACACAGCCTTGAAGCACCGCATTTTCTGGGCACAGAAGATATATGATGCATGACAAACATGCTCCTCTGTTTTTTCCCAGCCGGAAGCCGTTCGGGCCTTGATCACACCTGAATCGCATGTGCAGGGTGTGTCGCGAAGCACAAGAATATTTCTTTCTCGCCGCTCGCCTTGCCCTACCCACATGTGGGCCACATGACAAAACATTCACAGCCATTGCTTCAATCAAATTTCCATCACCACAGGGCATTTCGCAAGGTCACTGTGCGGATACAATTCCTCCGTCTTATAGCATGTGTCCTGTACGCCGCTTTTGTAGTGTTAAAACCTAACCATGTACTTGTACAAATTGTGCCACATTCATAGTTGTGAGTGCAGGGGTTGGTGTCTAAGATTTCGTCCAAATTCAAGGCAACAAATGGCAAAATTTCACGGGTTTGGAGAAAAGCCCAATTCGCCATGGTGAGGGGGGTCCCTTCCAGCCAGTGCGCCAAGGTTGGGCATTGAAATCAGGCAACACCACATTATCTGATCGTCGGTGCACCATAAAATGAGGCAGAGTCTTTCAAACGGGCACCTAAAGGTTTGATTGGCAACTGTCGTCTGATCGCCGATTTCTATCCAAATAAGCAACCTTTTGGAAAATGAAGAAAGGAGCAGGGAGATATTTTCTTTTGTGTTTTGAGGCGCCCCAGGGGGTCTTAGCACCCGGTCTTTCCGACACTGATGCATTTTTGAACACTTGATTTTATATATGGAACGATACAGCGATTCTAGATAGGGAACGTTTGGTCTGCGACGGAGGAACTAAAACATCAACAAGAGTTCCCACCACGTGCCCAGCTGCTCTCATTGAGGGCTTAGTCGCACACGAGCAAAGTACCACGTATTGGCAATACGTAGTACACTGCTCGTGTGTGATTAAGCTCTGAGTCAGCCTCCGGATGCCGTTCACCACACCCAACCCATATCCCATTCAACCGATACTGCGCTCTTTTTAAAGTAATCAGCCCGTCCTACCCATCGCGGCGCCTGTTAGAAACCCGCAAACATCATTATTCCGTAGGCACTATCGACCATAAAATAGATTCCATTTCTCTTGCTGGGCCTGCAGTCATTCAGGCCCCCCAGAAAACAGCTGGGGTTGGAATCTATGGGTTCTAATCTGCGTCCACTCTGCCGCCTCGCCCACCTCCCTTGCTATGATATTTTCGAGTGCAGGTCTGTCTGTGGCCTATCACTTGTCAGAGAATCACAAAATTGAATTCGGCCTCTTCAACACCATTTGAGCCGCTGCGCTCCATAGCTGCCTCCAAACACAGGGACGAATCTCCTTATGCAAGCGTGAATCTGGAATTCCAAAATGGCTCAGGGTCAACTTCCTCCAGGCTTCCGTCCTCCACATGTCAACTGCCGAAATCATTCTTGAAGGCCCAACAACCGGCACATGGAACAGCCCACCCACACCGCTCATTGATACTTGAAGTTCTCCAATTTTCCAAACGTGGATTGAGTGTGAAATCGACATTGAACAAATCATGCATGCTGTTTATTGGGGAGAACTATGAGCTAATTGCTACCTCCTCAGCTTGATATGTGGTGTTTTTTAGCACGATGAACGTGACGATGCGTGAGAATAAATGGAAGATGTTATTGAAGCTTCATATGAAAATTCAGCATGTGCAGAATAGTGAATACAAAGCATATTGTGTTAACGTTCAGTTTGGCGTGGTGGGGTCATGACCACACTCCTGACGGAAGCAACTGCGATTGAGACGGGGTGTGAAGTGGAGACCAACCAGAGCTGAAGTGAGCACCGCTGCCATCGCCACCGACTCCTTGCTTCACTGCCCCCTTTCTTCTTTTGGTAGGGGAGAGCCTTGTAGAGGTTTTGCAGGGAGGAATCGTTCGAGGTCTGTGTCTGTGAACACGTGGAAGTACTTCCACTTGTGGTTCGTTGCTTCTGCACCGCCCATATGGGAATCTGGCAAGCCCAAACTGTTTTGAGAATAAAACTGAGTAGCTAGATCACTGTTTGAGACCGCAAATTTCGGTGCATGATTTACATGTGCTGACAGTTAAGGAGCTCCCTTCGCTCCCTTCGCCCTCATGTTACCGAATCTAACTTAGGATTCCCACCGATCGACGGCGGCCTTGACCATTGAGCATCCGCAAAGCCCTGCACGGGCCGCCGTACACGCTATCCCCACGTCAACATCTGGCTTTCTCCCGGGTACACCCTTAGGCTGCACTGAGCACAACAGCTGATGCCAAAATGCCCGGTCTTCCGCTGCTGGTTGAAAACTACTGCCAGAAAGAGTGGCCACAGCAAGGCGGCGCAAAGCAGGGCTTCGACGGCAACACTGCTGCACTTATTCCATGTCCTTGTATTTACCAGTGGCTTCTGGAGACTCATCTGCCTGAGAATGCCGACCATCGCGGAAGAAGACGGGGCACATGGCCATGCACAGGCTCCCATCCCCGCTGTGCTTCGCCGCTAGCCACGCCACCCGACTGACAAATCTCGCTTCAACTTCGACCAATGCTCACAGCCAACACGCCGAGCTCAAAACTTGTCGTCACGGAAGACAAGCATCGACTGCTGCCGCATGCATGGCCACTTCCTTCGTTGCGTGCTCTGTCGAATAATCTTCCTTTATTTGTTGTGAAGCAGTACATAATGCGGATGGGCGCTGAGGTGGCGGCGACAGGTGTTGTTGGAGCCATTGGTTTGCCTGCGCCCCGTCATCCCTGGGCGACCTCGTTCTTTAGGGTCTGGTCAGTTGCGAAAGCCACAAGGTTCTCCACAGTTGTTCGGGCGATGTTCGTGAGAGCCTCCTTTGTGAGGAATGCCGAATGCGGAGTGATCAGAACATTCGGATACGCCTTGAGGTTGGCGAAGCGCCGGTCCCAGAGCTTCAGTCTCTCGACAGGCGCGCAGGAAGTGAAGTTTTCAAAGAAGAAATTTCCTGAAATGGAGCTCAGGTTGTCAGTTGAAGCTGCAGTGAGGTGCGACACCCTTTCGCAACTCAACAGGATTGCGTTTCAGACATCGCGGCTTATTTGTATCAATATATCATGTAACGTTTATAGATTTGTTTATGTATTTTCCTTTTTAATTTTCGAACATTCATGTCCACGATTTTTTTCATTTTTTAATGCTTATTGTTTTGTTTTGTGTATATGATATATATTCAATTCAATACATTTAGGAAGGTGAGCTGATGAACACGTGTACAAATGGGATGAGAAACAACTTGCTCAACGTGATCAACAACACTACGCCGTCCAGTGCCTTGAGTCGAAGCCCGGATCGTCGCCCACCCCTTCCCGGCTAATGTTGTTTTCAGTGCATTTGCTTAACAAATGCAACATTAAACTTGCCCGATGGCCAAGTGCCGCAAAGGGCCCCAATGTTGGTCACCTTCATTTTCATACACATCCATCCCGGCGCCTCCCAGCTGCCCTGATTCCAGCGCATCCACAAGCGCATCGCTGTCAATGAGGCCACCACGGCTCACATTGATGAGCAATGCGGTCGGTTTCATCATTTCCAGCCTGCTCATGAAGACATTGCACAAGATATGACCGGGCAATCAACACAAGTACTACAGTGAACACTTGCATTGCGTTCGTCGAAGCACTGTGGTTCACGTGTTTTTTACGTACATGGACTCCTGCATCGAGATCGGGGCCCCATGCCCAACAACGGGTGTCATGTGTTGACCTCACCTTTCTTTGTTGATCATGTGGAAGGTGGATGGCAGCAAGGGGCAGTGGAGTGAAACGATGTCCGATTTTGCAAGGAGCTCTTCCAGAGGCATGTACGTCACATCCATGTCAACGCAGCGAGGATTGGCTGCTACATCTGTCGCCAGGACGCTGCATCCGAAACCCTGCGGCACGGTGACAGGCACACGCAGTCAGTTGACAGGAAGATACGGAGGGAAACATTCACTAGCAAAAAAAGGACCAAATAACACTTCTGCGAACACACATAAAAACATTTCATTAAAGCTCTGCACGCAACGAACACAAAAGTAACCCAAACCCGTAAACTTTGTGCACGTTTGAACACGTGTTATTTGGCCCTATTTTTCCTAGTCATTTACCGGCTGATTGCAACAGTTCCGCCAATTTAAAGGATTCCAGCCGCGTTTGCGGCAAGAGAGCGGAGAGACTGCAGGCGCAACGGCGCATATGGAGGGTTCGCTGAGGCCATCGTCCTCATGAGCGCGATACGGCATGATCATGTCGCTCTAGCCCAACACGAGGTGCGCACGCGCACACAGCTAAGTATGTCCAGCACAGGTTTCTTGGGCTATCAATTGAACTAAACTACTCTTAAATATGCTCCTTGTCTAAAATGCAAAATGCAAAATGCAAAGTGCAAAATGCAAATGCAAAACATCTCATGGGGAGCGCGCATATCCAGCATATTCAAAAAAATAGCTCGACAGTGCCCACGCGAAAAGTGTTTCCTCTTGTCGCTCGATGTGCAGCGACTGCTTCAACTTTTCCCAAACGGGGCTTCTCAAACAGTAGCTCCTCGCAAGAAATAAGATTTTGAGCGGATTCTCGACACTCTAGGAATGTCCGATACCTCTCATTTCCGGATATGAAGGTTGTGAAGGTCGTGAAGGGTACTAGGGACCCCAAACACTAAAATCTAAGCACCTTGGGCCCGAAAGTAACCTTTGCGACCTTAACGACCTTCATGTCTTCGCGACCTCGTGATTTGATGACCTTGATTACGCTCATGACCTTCATGACTTCATGCCTGTAAATGAAGGGTATCGGACATTTGTGACCGCTCCAAGAAGCGCGAACAGCTCGCGCACCCATCTGCGTGGCCCCCCGGGAAGCAGTGAGATGCGTTCACGCATCCAAAGCAATCCTGGATCCCGCTGCCCCAGCACGGCTTAGATACTTGCTTTGGGCCCTCCCATTTCCCTGACCTTCATTATAGCACAGAAGCAAGCTCCGATGGATCCTGTCCCAACCACTCCAACGGTCTTCCCATGCACCTCTGTTCCCTCCAGTCCGGAGAGGGTGTAGTTGCCTTGCCATATTCGGTTGTAAGCCAAATGGAGTTTCCTGAGAATGGCGCCCAACCATCAAGCGCGCACTCAGCCAGTGGTGCGGAAATACAAACATGTTAATATGATAGCTCTCATATCAAATTTTCAATCACCAGATGTTCAAATTTGGCAGGAAAATGCACGAAACTGTAGTGAATACGGATGAATTGCCCGGTTTGAGCTTGTGGCTTTCACCTGCAAAGCGATCAGCGCTGTGTGTGCCATTGCCATGCCGTCGAATCAGACAAACGAGCACCCTTAGCTGATGACTTTGTGGTTGCGTTTCATTAACTTTGGTCAGTTTACCTGTTAAGAGCCATCGCCAGCGCCACGGCATGCTCAGCGACAGATTCTGGAGAGTACGTTGGCACCCTTACGATCTTGATCCCCTGTGTTTCTGCTGCCTTCACATCGACTCGGTCATATCCGGCGCATCTCATGGCAATGAGCTTCACTCCTCCAGCAGCCAGGGCATCTATAACCTGGCGGCCGCATTGATAGGAGAAATTTCTTTCCAGTATTGCAAAGCGATTGGTAACGCAAACGCTACACTGTTGGATACTGTCCACACTCTGGTGCATTTTCAGCACTGCTGTCGTCAGCAATTGTGGGAAAGCGCCCTTCCCCACAATTGCACCACGTGGCGTTTCCCGGTGAACTGCCACTTTATGCGTTCCCCGGCTGACAGGCGCAACCCATGCTTCTCATACTCAAAAGTAAGTCGCATACCCTGGGAGTGGGCGTCACACACAATAACAACCACATTTTCAGCAGCAGGTAACGGCGTTAACGTGATGAAATTATCATCAAATCTAATGCGCTTCGTAAACTAACAATGCGCTACTTGCAACGCCGTTCAAGAAAGGAACCAAATCGCGCTCAATGGCCAAAGTTTTCCTGCATTCCGGATCGGCATGGGAAACCCTGCCGATGCAATCAGTGGTCAGAGATCACGGCGGCGGGCGTCGCACAGAGGAAGGGCTATCGCATTGTCAGCACGCACCCACGCGCCCCTGGCACGCACTGATTGAAGGGCGTGAAGCCCAACCTGTGAAGCGTCCATTGGGTGGAAGCGTGACCTGGATGGGGACGCCATATTCAGGAAATGGATGGATCATGTCCGAGACGTACACGGGCCACATCCAATTCGGTGTGAAGGGTCTGGATGTGTATGTGTGGCGCCCACATGCAGGACATGGTATTTCTGTGAGGGACGCAGCGCCTCTCTGGATTCATACCTTGCTGTCGCATCTGTCATTCACGAACAGACACACAGCGTCAAATCCGTTGGCCAGGCAAGCCGTGTCGGTGTCCAGGCGGTGCTGCGCAACCGAAACGACACATGAATCAACTCGACCGCCACACCAAATGCACCGCGTGAAGATCCTGAAATGAATGTTGTGCTATCCATTCCGTGTCCACGAAGGCGGCGCTTGGTTGCCATGGTTCAAGCAACAGTAGAACTGGCACGAGAAATGCGCAAAATTGTTTTTCATCTCTTGTCAGATTGTGTGACCGTTCTCAGAGCCGTCGCACCACGCAAGAGCGTATTGCTATCTTCTCAAATTCGTCTGTGCAAGAGTTCATCCGTCCGGATGTCAAGCATTCAGTGCTCGATTGGCAGTGTCCTTTCGGAAGGACAGGAGTTCGTCGGTAGAGTACAGACTGCGAAGGGAGCCTGTTGATGACGATATTTCGCTTTGAGTTGCGCACAGGCTCAACGGTAGAGGGCGTGTATGCTGAGCCGCGCAAAAGGATGCGCAATTGCCCGAGCACAATTTCGTTGCCTGCTTGCATGCAGCAAAATGATCCCTATTTTCTTGGCATGTTTGGGCTCAGAGGTTAGAGTCTGGGAAGTGCTGTCCAGCAACTTGTCAGTGCTTCTAACACATGACAGGATACGTGTGCCCCGAGCGTCCCGCTGTGCGGGATGCACGCATGCTGGGATGGCGGCACCCGTGCAAGAGTTCCACCGACGCTGGCACCAATGCGCTGCGCCCAGTGGCAAATTGCATATGCGACACTCCACACGCCGTGTGAATCGCTTGAAGTCTCCCTCACATTGATTGTCCCCAAACAAGCCAGGGACCTGCCGGCTGCCTTTTTGCGTCAACAGGCAGTACTTCTTCGATCGAAATGGTTTCGGCGGTGATCGCCAAAACCAGTCAATGTGAATGTGGCAATGTGAACGTGGCACCGACTCATCCACGTGTCGGGCAAAACATGAAGCTGACGCCCACCTTGCGCGTTTCGTAGGACGACCCCGAGCTGGACGTCACCCCACCCCACCCCACCCGCTCACCGCGAAGAAGGCGGACTTGGGGAACGCCGGCAACAGGGCCTCCTCGAAGTGCGGCTTCATATACGGCGCCGAGGAGAACACGGCGACCTTGAAGTCCTCGAGCACTGCCTCCCCCGCGGCTCCCAGCTCTCCAGCCACCGATCCGGACAGCGCGGCCGCCACAAGATGGCGCGGCGATCGGCACGGCCGCCCCGTTGCGCCCAAGCGCTGCGCCCGCCCAGCGAGACTTGGCCGGGATCCGCCCGACTCTCCTCGTTGGCGGCTCCGTGCTCGGGCGGCTGCTCGCTGATGGTTCCGAGCCAGGCAGGCGTCGCCGCCGACAGGTGGTAGCGATCGGGTCCGCATCGCGGCGAGGGGGCACGGTGAGGCCGGACTGGAGGGGGGGGGCCGGGGCGAGAGATGGCGGTTTCAGTTAGCGAGGAGGGGTGGCAGGTGGCCGCGGCTCGATGCGCATCTTGTGTGGGAGGGCGACTTGAGGGTGGGGGGAGGAAGGCGGGCGGGCGCGGCGGACCTCGAGGGTGACTAACTCGGTACAGCGATGGGGGCTCGGGACGCTGGCGCAGATTGAGCGGCGGCTGGGGACGTGGCTCCTCGTCGTGGCTGACGGGAGGGCGCGGAGCGGCGCAAGTTGAAGTGCTGAGAATGAAATTAGACCCTGTGCTTTTGTGATTGTCGACTCTTGTTTCGACAGCCTAAACCCTCAACCAAAACACTGAACCCACTGACCCACGTTGGCCTTGTCAGCAGAAGAGGAGGGGATCTTCAAGAAAAAGAAATGGGGACTGATATATTCTCGAAGTACTGGGGCAACTGCGGTGCCACTACGGTGGTTTTCCAGAATGTGGCACAAGCGAAGGACAAAAGCGAATCGTCGCAGCCACAAAGGCAACCTGCAAGCGAATCACAACGCATTTGTCGCGATTCGCTTGCGGGTGTTTTTCAATGGCTGCAGCGATCAGTTTTTGCGCTTCGCTGGGGTGCATTGTTAAACGAGCAGGGTGTGTGGCTGCGGTGGTTAGCTGTTTAGTCCTTGCTTGCGCCGCATCGCTTAAATGAGCCACGGCGAGCGTTGGCAAGTGTGATGGTCGTCATCGGCACTCGCGCAGACCAGCTGTTGTGGGGATATCGTGCACATGCTGAACAGGTTCCCGCTCGGCAACCGCAATTTCGTCGGCCAGGTTTCGGCCACCTTCACGTCTTCCATCGCAGTCAGATAGCCTTTACAGCTCCTGGCAGACTTCCTTGATGCCGGGCTCGCCGAGAATCGATCCTCTCGCAGGCATGCCTGTGGCCGCTGGCGTGCACTGCGCGAGAAGTGACTAATAAGGACGGGCCCGGCCGAAATCAGAGGTGCAAAGTACTGGCCAGCATGTTGCGCCAGGTACACAACCAGTACCCATCATGCTTCACAAACGCCATACCTATCACGCGTAGTCACAGTGACACCTGCGATGCTTAGCTGCCACGGTCGCTTAAAAAACTTTCAGCATCAAACATTACTCGAAGTAGTCGCCAAACCTCCAATATCTGCAGAGCTTCCCTTTCACTGTATTGTTCCTCATTCCTTCAGTCTCCACCCGTTTACGCCAACCTGCCTCAATGTGCAAGGCAGCTGTAACAATCTACAAACAGCAAAAAAGCAAGCGAGAAGTGGCAATACCTGGTTTACCAAATCAGACTGCCAGCAAACCACTGCATGCGGCGCCAACCCAGCTTCCCCGCACCAGCACACATGTGATCCTCCACAATGACCTTAGAAACGTGCATCACAGTCAAATCAACCAATGAAGAATATTGCGGATCGAGGCATCAACAAATAATATCTCGTCGCGGGCCATTCCCTTCCACCGGACACCAACGGAGTAATGCGCAACGATCAAACAAAGAAAGCATGAAGCACATGCATCAACGCGCCTAAGCGACTCATGGCGGCCCATTCCTATCCCACGGACACAAAGTCCTTAAGCTTTGTACTTCAAACTCCGTCTCCTTCAAAGCTCTGTGAGCGCCGATCGGCTTGCGCTGGGCAAAGAACAAGGCTACTCCGGTTTCGCCAACGAATGCACGGCGCACCCACTCGCCCCCATCTCCAGGCTCCAGCCTTGGTCTCCAGTCTCCAGAGACCTACATCGGCTTGACTTCGTTCTCCAACGGCTGTCCAGTTGCAAACGCAGCCAGGTTGTCGCGGGTGGTGTTGGCGATATTGTTGAGCGCCTCGACAGTCAGGAAAGCGGAGTGCGGGGTGATCAGGACGTTGGGGTAGGACTTCAGCATAGCGAACCGCCGGTCCCAGTTTCTCACGCGCTCTTCGGAGGTGTAGGAGCTGAAGTCGGTGTCGAAGAGGTTGCCTGGCGGGGAGCAGCATGGTCACGTGCATTGCAGAAATTGGCGATCAGGGGACGCTGTAAAGGGACAAAAACTGCCTAGGTGCAAGTACAGCAAATGGTCACGACTTGTGCAATGTTGGACGCGGCTTCTGCTGTAACAATCCAGTGCGACAGCAATTTCGACCATGGTTTCACCGCAGCAAAGATTTTTCGAGTTAGACGTTTTCTTGCCAATGGCGGAAGCGGCACCACTCCTGCCAGTGAGTGCCGCGCAGCGCATCACTTTCCACAATTGCCAAAGAGAGTTTTCTGGGAGGAAAAAAGACAAAAAAAACAGTGGGGGCCCGGGTGGGGGATGGGAGCTGTGGGGAGAATTCTGGAATGCTTGCGGATCATCAACAGGTGCGATCCACAGCTGCTCGCGGCATTTCTGGCATTGTGGGTAGGGGTGGAGAGATGCTCCTCGAAGCAAGTTCAGAAGAGCTCGCTGGCCGGCCAGTTCTAGTTGTCCTAAAGTGCAAGCACGTTCAGCACATTGCGCATGTACGCATCTCACTTCAGGGTGACCTGGGAAATTTCACGTGCATCGTAAAACCCTTTCGCCAATGCCGTGGGCAATGTACTGTGACGCTGCATGTGTTGTGAAAGTAGTGGGCTGGCGAAACATCTGCTTGAAGGAGTTTTTCACATCGCGGCTCCGTTCAGGATCCCATGCAGCTACTCCCTTCGAAAGCTTGAAGAGGTAAGCGGGGCAGCTGTGTGAGACCTTGAATCAAAGGCAGGAATCGACGACGGGTGGCACAATTGCTTACGGATACCCTGGCGCGTTTGCGACGTTTGTGCTTCCAAGGACTTGCGATCTCGACGTATGCTCAGACAACGGTGCACAACCTCTTCTCAGGTTGGGTGACTGTCACGGGGCCATGGTGGCGATATTGCACAATTCCGGAAAAACAACGTTCTCGCTCTCATCCATGATTGCCACAGGTTCTGACACAGACATTTAAGATAATACAGCAAGGTTATCCAAAACATATGTTTTGTAATGCGCGTGTAGTGATAATTGAAAACAACAAGTGAAAGCGGTTCACATCATTTCCAGATTACTCCAGCACAGCGATGAGCCAAGTGTAAGGATCCCAGCAATGGTCAGGAGCATGCGCAAATGACAAGTGTCATCCTTCACACAAAGTCCTGCTCTATGATATGCCAAATGATTGTAACAGCTGCTGTGAGCATTCATGCACGGAAAAACAAGGACGGTGGCTGCGCCATAACATGCCATCAACAGCCATAGTATATGTACAGCCATTGCGAAACAACATCTGTTCCCTCCAAGATTCTGTACTTTGCACCTCCGGTTCAAGTTCAGGATGCAGCACATGCTCATGCACATCGCCAGCTCTCTGGCAAGCGCTCAACATGCAACAAAGTGACCAGTACCAAACGTCAAGCACCGCCAATATGGGTGTGATGGCCAGAGTGTGGCAAGGTGCTGACCAATCCAAATAATCCTCAATATTTACCTTCATTCTCGTAGACGTCCATGGCGCACCCCCCGATTTTACCATACTCCACAGCTTCCAGGAGTGCATCTGTGTCCACCAGGCCCCCACGGCTGACGTTGATCAGCATTGCATTGGGCTTCATCAAGGCCAATCTGCCTCACACAGTGACGGGTCTTCAGAACCAGCACAAACGCTCACACCCACTGCCATTTGAGGACACGGTTTCGCCAGCAGCCAATTGACAGTGTGGCTGTCGTGGTGTGAGCAGCAAAGGTGAGCTGCTGCAGCCTTGTTGGCAGGCACGACGGTGCTAAATAGTTGAGGAGGGCATGAATACTGAGGCATGACACAAGCAAGCAAAGACTAAACGTGCCCCTCCCCCATCCCTGGAGAATGCTACATGGGTCACTGCCCTTGATGACCCCTACACTTCACCCCAACACATAAGAAAGGTCACAGTTCTGTGGGTGAAACCTCCATTACAGGAGCATTGAAACGTGCAAGGCAACACAAAACAGCAATCCTTTCGTCTGGGACCAGTGTAATGTCAGCAGACAGGTTGGCTTCATGCACACAGCACATTGCCATGTCAAAGTGTCTGCCTTGCAAATGGGCCCTTCTTCCAGTGCTAGAATCAGAAGAGTGCAAACTTCATGCACACTCTTTGCTCAGTAACACTGCTGATGTGATGTTTTGGGAATCAGATCGAGCACCCTTCTAGTGCTTGCTGGCACACACCTTTCCCTGTTGATAATGTGGAAGGTGGAAGGCAGCAGTGGGCAGTGCAGTGATACCACATGGGACGATGACAGCAGTTCCTCCAGGGAGACATACTCTACGCCCATATCGATGCAACGAGAATTGGGCTTCAGGTCGTGTGCAAGCACCTTGCATCCGAAACCCTGCTATTGGGGAGGGAACAGGCAAATTCAGCACTTATCTGCAGCGACTGCATGCCCCTGGTATACTGCAGGCTGATAAACGACACATGTGGTCCCGATGACAGCTGCCATCAGCATCCCGCAACAGACAACTAAGCATGGGCACATCTTCAAACAAAATTTAACGCCAGCCCAGTACTGTATTAACACAGCCAACAGCACCTCTGCGTTGAGCACTGTGTTCAGTAATATGCTCTCCATGCACATAATCCTGTTTCTGCGGTGGGTATTCACTTGCTCCCATTTCATCTGATGTTGCACAAATAGGTACAAAATCTTGAACTTGTCCCCCATGAGTTTCATTAGTCAAACTGCAGAGCAAGATTTGTCACAAAATGAACTTCCCTTCATTATATACACAATAACATCTTGAGAATTTTGTTTGCGTGCACTACAGACTAGATATTTTGGCTGGTGCCCAGAAGCCTGGTGACTACTGCCATATTTTGTCCTCATTTCATTCATCTCGATCTGCGTGTTCTTGGGTTCCGATCCCCTTCCGACTGTGCGCCTGGGTGGTGTGTGGAGAGTGTATGTTGTGATTTCAAACAAACTCGATTGGACCTCTTCCTGCGCCCCAAATCACCTGCATGTTGCAAAGGTTTCGTTCGCTTGGCCCATTTCTGGCTACTGCTTTTGAAGGAACGGCCCAATGGTTGGAACTGTACTTTGCCATTGCATGCCTGCTAACCCTGACGGACAAAACAGCATTGTGCACTGTGTTGATGACATTCAACAGATGCATCTATCAAATGCACACACTTCACTCGCTGTTGCTGCAGTACCTTCATAATCGAGCACACGCATGTCCCAATGGATCCTGTCCCAACAACACCAATCGTCTTCCCGTGCACTTCATTTCCCACCAGTCCGGACAGAGTGTAGTTGCCCTGCCACACGCGATTGTAGGCCAGGTGGAGCTTCCTGCGGCACTGAATGCAGAGAGTGAGGTCCACTGGCTGGATGGTCACTGAGGAGGTTCAACCCAGACATTGCAGCGATGTGTGCCATTAACGTTCGTAGGAACAGCAAGATGCAACTTTCAGCTGAGATCGCCTCACTGTGGATGTTGCAGAACACTGTCACGCCCCCAAGTCATGAGGAAGTACCAAGCTCAGTGCTGTCCATAATTCAGACCCAAGGCATCCTGCTGCTGTGGCAAAGTATTTCAAGGGCAAATGGTTTTGTGGTTTTGGCTGTTCGGTGATGCATCCATGAATTCAAGTTCTCCCTACAAATCAACAAAATTTGTCCAGCGCAACAATTTTCACCACCACAGTATTAGCCACTTGCACTGCACAATACCTCTGAAACAACAAATTGAAGCAAATGTGCTTTGAACCTTATGCTCACACAACAGATCTAGCTTGTATTCCAATACTTCAAGCTGACATGAAGCAATACACTGCTTCACCCATCCAAACGCACAAACATATGACGAATTCACTGACATTCACTCCACAACTCAGGAGCACAGGTCCCCTTCCTGCACAGCCCACCTGTTAATTGCCAGTCCCAAAGACACAGCATGCTCTGCAACTGACTCTGGAGAGTACGTGGGCACCCGAACAACCTTGATCCCACGCTCGTTTGCTGCTTTGATGTCTACACGATCATACCCAGCACACCTCATCGCAATCACTTTCACCCCTGCCTCAGCAAGGGCATCGACGGTCTGCAAGCCATGGATTCCAACTTTCAGTCCTACAACATTGCTTGCAAACAACATGTGCACCAGCAACCAACATTCTGCACTTGATCCTGCTTTCCAAATGCCATGTTGGAAATGGCTCTGTAATTGGATTGTGCCACAGCCCTCCCAGGTGGAACACTGAAAGAGCCCAGCAATTATAGCTGTCTGATGTGCAAGTTGTCCAAGCGCCACGATGACAAAGGCCGCCACAGGTGAGCAGCTCACACACACACACACACACATACACGTGTGGGAATATTGACACTTGCACCTGTGCAACCTGACAATCTGCAGCCCCCCAGTTTGGCTACTGGGGCGCAGAGGCGTGCTCTAGGTAAGGAACAGGACTGAAACCAGCCAAAGCAAAGCCTGTCAGTGTATTGTTGGATGGTAACAGAGAATTCACGGAGAGATATTCTTCTCTAGAGGGGTCCAACCATCATATGTGCAAGACTCCCAGACAAAGCCTGTGCCCACCTCCTCGCTGCAGTTGTCATTAACAAACAAGCAAACAGCATCGAAGCCCTGCGCAAGATTTGCAGTCTGGGGATCCAGATGAGTCTGCAACACAACAAACAAACTTTCCTTTGGCAGCTGTTTTTACGAAAGCACAGCACGTTGCAGCAGACAAAGGATACACCACTCTCATCAATATTCATAACATGACAGAATACCTGCCCACCAGCTTGCTAAGAAGAACAGTTATTGTGAGATAACATCTGCATCACAATACCCTCCCAACGTCTTCAACATGCTGGCGTCTTTCCCATGGCTAGGTCGCTCAACCAAGACACTGCTGCAACGGTGCGCAACAGTGTACTCGAGGTGAAGCAGCGTGCGCTGAAGAACCGAACCGAGTGTTGCAA